CGCCGAGTCACCGCTAAATTATCACAACAAGAGGCACTAGCACACAGCGGAGTGACCATTGTCACAAGACATCTTGTTTTGCTGGAACAGGTATTGTGGTTCTTCGCATGTCCTTCGAGTTTTTTCTTCTCTTATAGGTTTTGTTGGGCTAAGGTGGATGTTTTTGTGGATACACTGTAAACTCATTTCAACAAACGTTTGTTACTTTTACAAGGAAAATTATTTAGCGCAAATCCCCGCACCCTTTGCCATGTCATCGCACGACCCTATTGTTTGTCATGGTAGTTGTTCTTACAACCCACTCACATGTAGTTCGTTAGACTAGCTACCAAAGTTTGCTTTGTCATTGTTGTGTGAATGACTGTGTTCCTAGTTATAATTATGCGGCTACTAGGTAAAGACCTGCGCATGTTTGCATTTCACAGGGCTGAGCCGTGTACTTGTTAAGTCAAATCAATGCAAATCTTAGTTAGCATAGTAATGTCTACGTGCAGCAAACCTGTACTTGTAAGCAATCTACTAGTCTCAGGCTTGTAACGTTTTACAAAGACCTCCCTTGTATTCGTCAGTTTTCTCCACAAATCGCAGGTCGCCGCTCTGCAGTCTCATTATTACAGCAAAACAGCATTACTGAAAGTAGGTCATGTATTTAAAATGGTACATACACATTACACACACAATAGTGATGACACTGATGACCCAAGGGGCAAGGGCAATAACGCATGCGAAAAGGCAATGAGCGTCATCACTTACGAGTTTGCATATAGAATCACACGTTTACATGCATTAGGTTTGAGTTAAGATAGTCAACTTGGGTTCCCTGCCTCGCAATAACTGGTTTGGGGACTCGCAACATCGAGGAATGCCTTGATTCGGAAATATGTTATTTCTAAGTCTGTGGAACACGAATTTTAAGGGGCAAACCCATTCAAATCTAAGGGGGCATTCAAATTCATTAGCCCCTTGGAATTCAGGTGCTTTTTCATTTTTAGACTTCTTGAGTTTCTGCAGTTTGCTGTCTTCAGTGTATAGCGACCCTTGCTTGCCAGCTGGAGCTTTCGCTCCTGATGAAAGCCTGAAAGAAAGCATCGCTATATTATAGCATATGCAGAACAATATGGCCTGGAGCAGAACACATTGTGCTTACTTCCATACATCACGCACTTATTCAGCAAATTTCTCTGATTCAATCTCCATTACTATCAGTTAAAAGACATAGGTACATTTCATTAAAAAATGACAAAAACGACCGAACACTGTTATCACCTACCATTTTCACGGAAGTGCGCAGGAGGCCACATCACTGCACGGCGGTTGGTGCGCAACTGAAACTTTCAAAATGAAACGGCCGGAAACGTTTTTGGCGCCACCTATATAACAAGTAACAGCTTTGTGTATGTTACTACTAACACGTCTAACTAGCGTAACTAAGTCCGTGTTGCAAAGGTGAAGCTGATACCTTCGACAAGGACATATATTACATAAGTATGTATCAGTATTGTTGCAATGGTGTAGCTGGTTCTTTCGACAAGGATATAAATTACAAATCATAAGTAAATCTATGTTCCATATTACGAATAAGACACTGGTAGTTTTCACAATAGCCTCCATAATCCTCGTCAATTTTATGAATGGTCGACTAGGTGCTGGGGCTGATACTTATATTTGCCCTGTTGATTCAACCAACTATGACAAGATATTCGTCGTTCAACAAAACCTTTATTAGTATTTTTGACAAACGCTCGTAGTTGTACGACAACCCCTTGTCAAAATGAGTTTACAGTGTACCTATTGATATTCTAGACCAACGTGCAATATGCGGCATAATTTATCATATGAAAAGATAAGTTGGCAATAACTGTTCAGCATTAACCAGCAACGTAAGTACAAGCTGCATAAAAATATCGCTATTGCTTCACATCAGCAATAATAAACATTGCATTTTATCCACAATTCCAGTGAGAGATGCATATGGGGTCTTCAGTTTTTTTTTTGAAGAAAAAATCAAATAGATGAATTGCCTTTTAACCTACGCACGCAATACGACCCAAGTGTGTCAACTGTCAATCTTACGACAACTTTTTATCGTGTATCCAATTAGCCCACCTGGCCATAGCGTGCATGACAGAAAGTCATTACCTGCGGAAAATGGTCGCTTATTGGATCGCTATTAGGTGCAGAAATAATCACCGTCCATCCTACTATGTGACAGAAGATTTGATGGCAAGCATGCCAAGACTGAGCTGTCAGCCTGCGCAGAAATGAGGTGTACCGAATGCCTATCATTTTCCTTGAATGTTCATTTATGTATAACCACCCTTTGATTACACTTAAGTGTTACAATATCCATTTCGCATGCTGTGTTGTCAATGCAATCGATGTAATTGCATCGAATGCAATCAATGCAATTGAAAATTCAGTACCCATTGACAATGCCACGCTCGGCCTGTGAGGAAGATACTATAGTGCCTTCTAGTTCTATCGACCGTCGGCAATGGTCCATCACCACGACGGACGGTAAAAGCAGGTGCCCTCGGGCGGTTTCAGACTCCATTCAGATATCTGCCTTCGTTGAGCACAACGAAGGCAGATTTCAAGATGGAGTCTGAAACCGCCCGCGGGCACCTGCTTTTACCACCCACCATCGCCCCAGAGTCTGTGTGTGCGTTACGGCACTGATTTAGTGATTCACCTCACACGGCCGTCTCCCTCGGGGGGCGACCCACCGCGCCGGTCGGGCTCCCACAGACCGGAGCAGGGCCGGTCGATTCCCTCTCGGTCCGCCAGTCCACAGGGAAATCCGCCCGCAGATAAACACGACGCGATGGTGGCATTCGGCGGCGCACTGCGCCACGTCTGCCGCAAATCTGACGTCACCAAGGGAACAGACGTAGTGGACCTGTGAACTTGGACCAGCACAGGGTGATTTCTTCCGGATTCTTCTCTCAGTAGAGGCTCTCCAGTCTCCGTCGCCTCCTACTTTTACTAATTTGAAAATAATTAAATAATGTAGAACTGCCAAGCTCCTTCAGACAAACTGAAAATTATTGTGGGTAAGTGGTCTCACCGCAATATGACGAAGTACGCTTAATTAAGTCAGATGAAAAGGCTATCACGCCAGGCTCATGGCCAAACGTCTAGGGTCCTAGAAAAGGATTCGATACACATTTTACCACAGTCCATGATTTCGAGTGCACCCAATTAACCATTTCATCCCTGTATCGCTTTCTGTCCACTTTTTAGCCTTTTCGGACTGCTTAGTCAGCTTCTACATATAATGCAGTTTGTATGATCTCCGTAGCTGCCATTAAGTCAATCAACTTCCAAACCACTTACTCGTAACTACCATTCAATGCAAAACAGCCTTTGAAGACCATCTAACGCATTCTGTGGAATATTTAACCCGCGCCCCGCTGGGCTATTCAGCCATACGCGCCCTGCTGGGGGGGGGGGGGCAGATTCTGCCCCCCCCCTGTCTAACTTCCGAACCGATGGTCGTAGAAAGACGGGGAAAACGGCAATCGAAAGCTCTCAACAAGGCGGATCTTAAGAGCCCAATTTTTTTTGCTTAAGTAGGTCAGAGGTTAGGTCAAGGTCAGGTCAAGGGTACAAAATGCAAGTTTCTACAGTATCGGCCTTGCACCGTAGTTGCCGAAGAATGGACTGAGACTGATTGCCCAAAACGTGTTCTTAGACTACCAAGACAATATTCGTTGCACACAATGTCATTCAAAGGTCAAGGTCAAGGTCAGGTCAGGTCAGGTCAGGTCACCAAAAACAAAATATAGAAAAGGGCATGTGCGACACATGTTTTATGGGTCATTTTACTCATGGAATTCAATAGGCACACTCAATAAGTGATATGGACCACCTCTGGATGAATTTCAGGTCGAGGTCAGGTCAAGGTCAGGTCAAGTCAGGTCAAATTTTGAAGTTGGTTGTTAAGGCCTAAAAAGGTGTCTATCCGATGCAGTTTTTCACGGAGAATCGAATGGTGCTATTTTTGTTTCCGTACGAGGTCTAGAACTTCCAAAAAAAATCATTTTTCAAAAAATTTGTGTGTCGTGACGTCGTGAAATTTGTGTGATTCTTCTAAAAATTGGTATGTAGGTGCACATAGACCATTTCCTTGACATATATTCCGTTTTTTTCGATAAACTCAATATTTTGGATTTTATAAATATTTTCCCAAAAAAGTCAGTTTTTTGGAAAATTTTTGGCCAAAATCCAAAATTTTCAAAAAACCGAGATAGCCATTTGATAGACAAAGTATAATCACGTATAACCTTTTTTGTTACGTCTTGATTCCTTTAAAAATGAAGATGTTAGCGGCGTTTGAAATTTTGCCGTTTTTGAGGCGAAAATGGCGAACATGACGTCACTAAAACGTCAATTTCTCAAAAATTTTCCGACGGATTTCGCTCAAATTTTCAGGGAACGTGTCAAATTGATGTATGATAAGGTACTGAAAGTTTGACGTCGCTGACGTAACGCGTTTAGAAGTTATTGGCAAAAAACGGGAGGGGGGGCAGATTCTGCCCCCCCCCCAGCGGGGCGCGGGTTAACCGAAGGACTGCGGATCTTAGCTGATGGCCACTTCAACGTTAAGCTAATGAGCTGTTTATTTAATTAGGCATAAGCATATTCAACAGCATCATTACTTGATGAGGCTATTATAGCTCATCCATTATTGTTCACCTTTTGAGCTTATTTACGTGAAAGAGATACAGAAATGCAAACTATTCTTCCTTCTGGAGATGTATGTACTTGAAGTAAACATCTGAAACAATCTGCATCGCACCCTGGACATCTGCGCAGTGTCGTTGCATAATGCATCATAATGCATTATTTTTTATCAACTGCGTTTTTCAATTTCATTTAATTAGACGAAGTTTGGTCATGAAGTTTCCAGCCCTGCAAGTTGCTTCGTGTAACTTGTAAAGTGTGACTTCCTGTCACATTGAATCACTGTTTAGCCTGACGTGATTCTCTCTTTCCAGCGGACAGCAGTTTTTTGCTCGCCAATGCTCAGATCGTCGATTTTCCAATCGTCTACTGCAACGAGACGTTTTGCAAGATGTCTGGCTTCAATAGAGCAGAGGTAAGCGTTCCAGTTTTAGAGCCGACAACTGTTTTGCTTGTCTGGCCTGCTTTATTTTTTATTAGATTCTTGTGATGAAAGAATGGCTGTGTATTGTAGCAAAGAAGCTCGAGTGCAAATTTACTCCGTCTGTTCATGGTGTCAATAAATTAGCGGAAAAAGTGAGGCATTGTGGTAAGTGAATTGAGTCAAGTGTATGTTTTCACGACAAACTATAGTATCACCTAACTATATGCTATAGCACTATAGCATATATAGGAGGTTTGAAAGAAAAGCAAAACAAACAATGAAAGAAAAAATACCGCACCTCACGCCCGCGCCCTCAAGTGGGGCGTTCCACGACAAATCGACAAATAAAAAATTAAATTTGCACCCTCATATTTTATTTTTCGTTGAAAACTGGTGTAAAGGGTTGTGATGGGCGGGGAAGCCAGCTGTGGCAAGGATTTTTTTCTTCGAACAATGGTTTCCGAGATATAGCCTCGGGCAATTCCAGCAGGTCGCGCTGCAGCCCTATGTTTGGCGGCCTATAACTCAGAAACTATTGGTTTTCTACGATAAAAACTGCATATGGTTCAACTCACAATCAGCCAACAAACATTTTGGCTATCTCGGATTTTCAATTTTTGAAAATTTTGATCACGTGACCTTTTGACCTATTTTTCGATGAGTGACCTTGATATTTTCCCCACTGAAAGTTGCAATTTTGTCTGATGACGATTAAAGCCTTATCAATTGTCATTCATATGCGAAAATAAAAAAGTGGATATCGCCCTGCGTTGACCTCAGGTCAGGTCATTTTTATGACCTGTCCATTATTACGAGCGGGAGCGACAGCGAGATCTCGAGAATAAAGCAAGATAGCGACAAGCGGTAAACGGCGCAGGGTACAAATGGATAAGGTCTATAATTTTTACTGAGGTCATTTTCAGGTCAGGTCAAAGATGACGTCACAGGAGCAAAAAGGAAGTCAAAATTGCGGCACTACATATATATGAAGTTTTTCTCGAATAACTTTCAAGGTATCCCAGCTAGGAACAAACTAATAGCACCATCGTGATCCTCTCGTCGATCCGCATCGAAATATATGTATGTTGACCTCGAAAGGTCGAAAGGTCAAAAGTTGACCTTAGGTCACGTGACGAGCGGGAGCGACAGCGAGATCTCGAGAATAAAGCAAGATAGCGACAAGCGGTAAACGGTGCAGGGTACACACGGAAAAGGTCTATAAATTTTACTGAGGTCATTTTCAGGTCAGGTCAAAGATGATGTCACAGGAGCAAAAAGGAAGTCAAAATTGCGGCACTACATATATGAAGTTTTTCTCGAATAACTTTCAAGGTATTTCAGCTAGGAACAAACTAATAGCACCATCGTGGTCCTCTCGTCGATCCGCATCGAAACATATGTATGTTGACCTCGAAAGGTCGAAAGGTCAAAATTTGACCTTGGGTCACGTGACCTAAGGTCAACTTTTGACCTTTCGACCTTTCGAGGTCAACATACATATGTTTCGATGCGAATCGACGAGAGGATCACGATGGTGATATTAGTTTGTTCCTAGCTGGAATACCTTGAAAGTTATTCGAGAAAAATTTCATATATATGTAGTGCCGCAATTTTGACTTCCTTTTTGCTCATGTGACGTCATCTTTGACCTGACCTGAAAATGACCTCAGTAAAAATTATAGACCTTATCCATTTGTACCCTGCACCGTTTACTGCTTGTCGCTATCTTGCTTTATTCTCGAGATCTCGCTGTCGCTCCCGCTCGTAATAATGGACAGGTCATAAAAATGACCTGACCTGAGGTCAACGCAGGGCGATATCCACATTTTTTATTTTCGCATATGAATGAAAATTGATAAGGCTTTAATCGTCATCAGACAAAATTGCAACTTTCAGTGGGGAAAATATCAAGGTCACTCATCGAAAAATAGGTCAAAAGGTCACGTGATCAAAATTTTCAAAAATTGAAAATCCGAGATAGCCAAAATGTTTGTTGGTTGATTTTGAGTTGAACCATATGCAGTTTTTATCGTAGAAAACCAATAGTTTTTGAGTTATAGGCCGCCAAACATAGGGCTGCAGCGCGACATCCAGGAATTGCCCGAGGCTATATCTCGGAAACCGTTGTTCGAAGAAAAAAATCCCTGTCACAGCTGGCTTCCCCGCCCATCACAACCCATTAGACCAATTTTAAGCAAAAAATAAAATATGAGGGTGCAGGGCACTTGTCGATTTGTCGTGGAACGCCCCAAGTGTCTGTGTTCACGGCACAAAATACTTATACTCTTCTACATGCTCATTTTAGAAAAAGTTGCCATTTTCGATTGTTATGGTCACTACTGAAATTACCTTTCAGTACGAATGGGCTCCCCTCTAATTTCTTTAGTTAGTACCTTTACCTAAGCATTGCCAACGGGTCTGTCCGGATCTCGCCAGCTGGAAATAGTCGGTGCTGTCGGTCGACACTGAGCCGGAAAACACCCCAGCTCCTCTCCATCACGTGAATCCGACAATCGTAGAAACCACCCACTCTCCTCTACCATCGTCTTGGAAACATCCACCCCACAGTTATGTCGAGCTGTCGCCGCTGTCGCTGCCTTGTCGGTCCTTCCGACGCTGCCACGTTGCTACCCCGCTGAGCCACCCACCTCTGCTGCTGCCGTCGTCTCCGACGCCGGTCGACTCCGGTCGAGGTCGACGGGCTGGCGATTGTTCCGCGGCCGTCTCGCAGATAAATGACGGCGCTGTCGTCACGCGCCACGCGCCGACGCCGGACGATGAGCTGGTTTTCCGCGTCAGGGGACTCCGGCAGACAGTGGGGTCGGGTGGGGCACCAGTCCGAGGCTGCCACGTCAGCCGACTACAGACCGGAATCCAATCGTGTTTTCGCAGGAATGACGATCGGTATTTCGCAGGAAATGGTGTCGGCGTTGGTTGCAAACGGTCAGATGACATTGGGACGCTGGCTGATTTAGTGAAATATTTCTGGGGTGATCTCTTATTCCTGCTGTAGTTGCTGAATCCTGTTTGTATTGTTTTAGGACATGTATTTTTTTGGATAAATCCTACTTGACTGTTGATGTCACACGTCTGTGGATGATCAAAAGATTTATCACAAAATACGGTGCTGTTATCGTACGAGACATTACTATTCAAGGAAATGAAAGCAAGTCATTCAATCAGCCTTTGTGATGCCCAGCTAACCCAATATGTCATCGTCCACAACGGCACAAAAACCCTGCCCACGCCCGGATTCTGACGACAGGAGGGCGTGTGTCCAAATCCGTCCACCCGCACAATGGCACGGCACGGCACGGCTCGTGTCCGTACAGCCGTGACCAGTCCGGTCAGACGCGGATGCCGGATCTATTTCCAGCCGCGGCGCCGATCTTACCGGCTATTACGGGAGCTCCGCGGGGACCTGAGCGCAGCGACGCTAGACGAGATCACGTTCGCCCCCGTACTCCGCCCTTCCCCCTCCCCTATCGTGGCCACCCGAGCCAGCCGTACAGACGCAGAAGGTTCTAGGCTGGCTGTCCGGTGTCCATGGCGACCTCAGGGGACAGACATCCTGCAGGCTGACCTCTGAGGCCTCATGGGATGTCCGACGTCATGGAGATGGTCGATTATACTCGTAGCCGCGGAGACGGGACGGAGACGGGACAGACGCATGCAGAGATGGAGACATGGCGGTGTGGGCACATATCAGATTACGGAGACATGAGACCGAGTGACGGAGCGGAGGGACGGAATCAAGTAACAGAGGAATGGAGAAGCAAGGAAATCAGAGCTACACAAGATAGAAGGGGGAGAGGGAGAGAGAAGGAGAGAGAAAGAGAGAAAAAATAGTGGAAAAGCAAAAGCAACGGGGTATTTGCTAAGCAATCTGAGCCCGATAATGTGAGGCCAAATATCATCAGTTCCTTTATTTGATGTGCCTAGGTGTCGGACACCAATTGTGAATGAGTCCATGGTTTTAAATTTGGAACGGTAACGTGCATTTCATTTTTGGAAGTAATGATACGTCCAGCATCACACAGGAAGGTATCACACACCATGAGGTCTGAAGTCCTTGAAATTGTGGAGCTGTTGGTGCCAGTTGGTGCTAGTTGCTGTCCAAGTTTGACAGACACCTCTCAGATTAATACGCCGTGACGTCTACAGCTCGTGTACTTAAATAATTAACGTCAGTTCCGTGTAAAGTAACCTCCATAATGTCCCAGAAAATTGGATTGAATTAACCATAAACGGTCGTTGCAAGTCATCCATGCATGTTGGTCAAACTACCTACGCCATTAATTAGTAAATCGCATTTACGCTCCGTAAGTCCTGGTGCCGGCAGGAGGATATCACGTCAGCCATTTCGTCAGCCTCCATCGCCCCTCCCCCCTTCCCCCACGGCGTGGGTGGGATTGTTTCCCGCCCACGAGCGGCGCCGACTTTACATCGAATCCGGATTTAGCAGCCTCATCTACATCTCTGGCGGAGGGCGCACGCATATCCCGCACCCGCGAGTCGTGCCGATGTGTTCGCCCTGTGGCGCTGTCACGGGAGTAAGAGAAGCTGGGCTAAATAATCAAAATAATGGTTCGGCAAATAAATCGATCGCTCAATTGCTCCGTTTGTCATTTTCGCTGTTTTTTACTTCCTTATAATGAAGTATGACCCCTCGCTCCGGACGCTTCAAGAAGTGCATAAGTTAAAATCGTGCTTCGGAAGAAACCTGACCCACAGTGCCCACGGCGGGAAAGTTTTGAAGTCCATAAAAGTTAACTTCTAATGAAGTCGCAATCATAAGTTGCAATCTAATGAAGAGTTTTATTGTGTCGACGGCTGGGCGCAGCGGGCTGTGGACGACTGTCGCGGCCCTTTCTCGTTTCACCCTGATCTTTGATTATTTTTTTAGCGAGACTCCAGCGAGAGAGAGAGAGAGAGAGAGAGAGAGAGAGAGAGAGAGAGAGAGAGAGAGAGAGAGAGAGAGAGAGAGAGAGAGAGAGAGAGAGAGAGAGAGAGAGAGAGAGAGACAGACAGACAGACAGACAGACAGACAGACAGACAGAGATAGAGAGTGTGTGTGAGAGAGAGTGAGAGAGAGAGAGAGAGAGAGAGAGAGAGAGAGAGAGAGAGAGAGAGAGGAGAGTGACTTTTTAAACGTCTCTACAGTTGCCTTTTACGTGATGATGAGAAGCATACAATATGAATAACATAGATACAACGTAGATAACATACGATAACATTATAAACATGATACGCTCTATTATCACGTGATACGACGATGGTATCAATACAAGTATACATTCCCTCTCTATCTGCTGACAGAGAGCTGTAAAGGGCACTGATATTGCAATTTGCAACAGGCGAGCTGTTTGTTTAGATGATAGTTTCACCCAGTTCCATCCTCCTGAATACTTAAAGTTAAAGCCGGCAATGACATGTGACTTCCATTTAAATAATGCTTGTATCATATAGAAAAGCTGCCCGTTCGATAATGCTCAAAATTAGCACCCGAGGCGCAAACAGCCATCCCTGCCGCGTCTTCGGCTGCTGTTGGTGACATTCACTAACCTCTGACGCGATCCCCAGCCGTAAAGAAGCAAGTTCACCAGTTTATGATCAATAAAGTTTCAGTTATAAACCCGCTGAAAGTAAACGTCTCGCCGGATAGCCGCAGTGAAACGCTGTGAGGCGGAGTTTCTGGAATTACTCTATTCGGGATGACATGAAAGCGCTCAAAGAATGCTGTAGAATTAATAACATTTTTAATACTATGAATGAAACATTAAGATGCCTGTTGCGTCTTGAACATGCTATTCATAGCCCACTTTTATGTTACGTTCTTTGTATGGAGTTCTAAAAATAGTTTTATGATAAAGTTTCAAAGGCTCGTTACTTTCAGTTAACCCTCGCCCGCACATGCCATTTTCCCATCCTAGAACGCACATGGGGGGGGGGGGGGTTGCCACCCCCCGCGCCATTTCGTTCCTGTTGGAGATAGAGCTTAGCAGTAAAGACCAAAAAGATTCTTTGGGAAGAGACGAATCCAATGATTCCCAGTTTTACCTTCTCAGGTCAGTCATTGACCTTCCAGGTCAGGTCAAACTAAAAAATATTGCTGTTTTGGGTCACCGTTGGATATCAAGTGCGCTGCTTATCAAATACCGATGACGATGCTGTTTTCTGGTGCCAAGCCAGCTAGAACCTCTTTGTCACACTACCCGACCAGAATTTTGCTGCTGAGGTTATTTCAGGTCAAGTTAGGTCAAGGTCAATTATATGTGTTTGTATGTCTGTGTGTGTCTGTGTGTATACTGATGTGTGCACCGATTGTTTTTGGGTCCATATTACATGAAATCATGATCTGAGAAGCTTTTACCAAAAATGCAGTCAAAAAAACTTCACAAAAAGTAAATTCAGCTTGCCTAAAACGCAACTATCTTAGATGACCTAGGTTGACCTTGACCCTGACCTTGACCCCTGTACATCGTCGAACAACATGTTCCATGATAGGTGGGAGGTAAGACTGGCAAAAAAGGCCGAAATCAGGGTGTCAAAAGCTCACAAGGCCCATGGCAAGCGCAAGATGTTGAGAATTGGCCATTTGGGTCATGACATGACCTGAAAAACAAGGTCATATCTCCGAAACCAAAAATCACAGAAACTTGAAATTTTCAGAGGACATCAAAAAAGGATAGAGGAGCAGCTACACGAAAAATCAGCCTTCTAGCTCTAAAAATGTTGAGTGCAGAGCAGAAAGACTACCTGGGGGGGCAACCACCCCCCCCCCCCCCATGTGCGGGCGAGGGTTAAGTCACTCATGTCTAGTGTTGAAAGTGACCTCAACTCAGCCCTGGTGAACTGCCTGTGAATTCGACTAATCGCAGTCCTTTTGCGACCCCGACCTACCTCTTGCGGTCTCTCTGTGACTTAAACTGCAGCCTGTTGTATGACTTCGTCTCACCGGGGCACGTTTGCATCGGCAGGTGATGCAGAAATCGTGCCGGTGCAGCTTCATGTACGGCGACCTCACCGACAAGGAGACCATCACGCGGCTGGAGCAGAGCCTGGAGCAGCAGACTCTCGATCAGATCGAGATACTCATCTACAAGAAAAACAGTGAGTCACACACCTGTCCTTTGCTGATTCACTTGTACTTACAAGTTACGCGGGCGTGTTTTATTGCCGGCGTGTATAGGCATGTTTGTGTTAACCGTATCTCTCGTGAGGTAGCTGTTCAATCGTGTGTAATTTTTGCAAAGACTAGTGGGCTCACTTGAATAGAGTGTCGGCAAATGCAATCAATTCAATTTGAAATTAAATCAAGCCGACTGTCGAGTTTCACCGGTTTAGTTTCCAACTCTCTAGAGTGCTCAGTTCGAAATAAGTCAATCAGATGTAATTCATAGGTCAAATATAATCATAAAACCAGTATAACCCCTTTTGGGGCGACTAACGGAGCGAGCGGAGCGAGCGAGAGGGTGGGCCTTGCATGTGCGAAATTGCGAGGGAGTACCTCCAACTGACTTGTGCACGGCACCGTACTAACCGGTCTCTAGCGATGTGCCAAATTTGGGCACAATCGGCCCAGCCGTTCTCGAGATCTGGAAGCGGCACCCTGCACGTGCGCACGTGCAAAATGGGTCCCAACTGACTTGTGCACGGCACACTACTATAGTTCGTTTTTTTCAAAAGGACTCTGACTCCAAGTATGTTTTTTGAAAAAGCACGCGTTTTAGCGAGTAAAACGAGCAAAAACTGAACCTGAGAAACTCGAACGTCGCCTTATTTTAACATGTAAAGTATTCCCGATAATTTCCATACGTGCGTTTTGGAGCCAGATATGAGAACAGAGTGGTGACGTCATGCTGTCGAACTTGTATTGCAATGTAACGTATAACTATCATGGACGAAACCGCTTACTCGATTATAACCTCGGCAACAGTGAAAAACGAAGTTTCCCCCAAATTCGTTAAAACTTTGTCCCATCGTACGGACATTGGATGCCTTCTGCCACCAGTGACGTCATCATGGTATGCTATTTTTTCAGGACATAATTTCCGGGTACTTACCGTGCACAATTTGAAATCGAATATTTTTTCGGTAAGAAATTCTTGGCCAGACGGTGAAGCTGCCAAAACTCACGTGAGAGCTTCTATAATGCACTTGGAGCCAGCGTCCTTTTGCAAAAAAAAAAAAAAAAAAAACGAACTATAACCGGTCCCTAACTGTGTACCAAATTTGAGCGCAATCGGTCGAGCCGTTCTCGAGATCTGGAAACAACCCCTGCACGTGCGCACGTGCAGCAGCGCCCCAACTCTGGCACATGGATATGCAGTGCCTGGTGGGTTCCTACCTGCATGCCAACTTTCAGCGAAATCGGCCAAGTAGTTACCGAGATATTGCAACAATTACAAAAGTGACACCTCTTCGTTTTGCACGTGGCACGTGCATAAGGGGTCACCCACATGCATCGGGAATAGTCCAATACTTGGTAGAAGAAATGAAGCTACCCTACAAAAATTACCGCGTGTAAATCGGTCAAGTGGTTGCTGAGATATAAGCGACGCAGAATCGTGACCACGGCCGGCCGGCCGGCCGCTCATACTCAGAAATTTCCGTTAATCTAAGATTCTAAGGAAAGACTATCCGTCAGCCCCGGTAAATTCGTGTACAGTAAATCACATCGGGACATCCTCTTTTCAGGGACGCCGCTATGGCTGCTGCTGCACCTGGCCCCGATCCGAAACGAGAAGGAGGTGGTTGTGTTGTTCCTCCTCACCCTGCGAGACATCACGGCGCTCAAACAGCCCATCGAGGTGGACGACACCCGGGGTGAGATGCTGCGCTGTGCGCGACCTGAATAATAGGAAAAAATACCTGCGGCATTTAGACAATGATCAGCTAGATATATAGTTTTGCTGAGGATTGTGGCAAATTTGCTTTTGGTGGATGGGGACGACGGAAACCTTTTTGGGGTCTTTAAGCCTGAGGTGGCATTCAAATGTCGTTGAAATGATCTCGGATGTTCAGTTATTTGCTGATGCCGATGGTGACACTCTTCGACCTATCTTGTTGCTGCTCTTTTCGTAGCGACCATTCCCTTGCGTCGAAGTTTTATTAAAACACGACAGTGATGATAGGAGAAGCGCTAAGAGACCCGGTCTCTGTCTCTCCCAGCAGGTCTGTCCAAGTTTGCCAAGCTGGCCCGCTCGGTGACCCGGTCTCGGACCGTGCTGGCCTCCCAGTTCGCCTCCAACATGACCGGCATCAAGGAGAACGGCAAACAGTCCAACATCGGACACGTGAGTTACAAATGATACATACATTCTAACATCGGACACGTGAGTTAAAAATGATGCATACATTCCAACATCGGACACGTGAGTTAAAATGATACATACACTCTAACATCGGACACGTGAGTTTGAAATACAGACAGTCTAACATCGGACCCGTGAGTTTTGAAATATAGGTAGTCTAACATCGGACACGTGAGTTAGAAATACATTCAGTTCAACATCGGCCGCCGTAAGACACAATCGGCGGCCAAAAGCTTGCCTAATGCAGCACGTTAATTAGACAACGAGCTCTTTGCAGTTGTGTCTCATCATGAAAGGTTGATTAAAAACACACGGTCATCAAATACCCTGCCGTAGTTATGCGTCCCAACTCTGGCCACCAATTTCCAGCGCACGGTAATGATTACAGGAGCCGGCAAGTTAAACTTGTGGCGAAACTGCACCCATGCGGAAACTTTGGTAGTAAGATGCCGCAACTAGCGGGCGACATTTCACACTTGGCTACGTATGAGATTGCCTGTAGATTAGTTAGAGATGATATTCTTAAAACGAATTCAACAACACCCGATGACTCACTGACCTAAAGCTATTGCTTAGTTCCGTTGGGTGTCGACCTCACTCAATATACTTCATCTCCATAGATCTGAAAATGCCGACAAGTCAAACGTCGCTTGCTAGCAAAACATCTCTTGCTGAATGCTGCAGTGGATGTTTTCGACCCATCAATGGACGTTGCAAATTTTAAACATCTATGCGATCAATGCTCAGCGCCAAGGCACGAACTGCATTGATGATTTAATCTGAAGGGTTCTGTAGAATAACAAGATATTGAAAGTGACCCTCCAACAGCCTTAGCATAATGAATGTCTTATCAAGGCATGCTTATTCTGTATCGCACGACACATGTATATTATTGTATAAGGATAGTGATGCTACTTTTTGTGGAACGTAATTGGTAGCATCGATTATTTTAATGCTATACAGTATGACCTTACCAACCTACATCAAAAGCATGTTCGTTGATATTTCCGACGTGGGCCGTAAAACTGTGATCGGCCGTTAAACACAACCTGAAGTAGCTCAGAACATCAGTATCCAATGCACCCGGTAGCTTGGCGGAATGGAATGTTTATTTAAACCCACTTTACGTTTTCCAGTCACGCGTTTGGTTGCGACTTCGGTACACATTCGACAAGGTTTTCTCCTCAGAGCTACAGCCATAGACCGGTGCCGTACATACATTGGCTTTTAACGACTGCTTTTAGCGAAAAACCGGCCACATCTGTTCGAGTTCGTGTGTGCAGAAGCCCAATCGGGTCAGCTGAACGCTCTCAGTAATTGAGTTATATAAGCTAACAGTTCGATCGTAAGACGAAATCTAATTAATTAGAAACGTGATTATAATTGATCAAACCTTATATAAATCGTTCGAATTAGCTACAAAATAAAATAAATGAAATAAATCTCAACAACCCACCGATGATTTATTATTTCACTAGCTGCTTATGCTTCCCAATTCAATCAGTTACAATCGCTGCCCAAGCCCTGGGAGACTGTTGATGCGGAGAGCTATTTGGCGGCCACCTCGGCCGGCCCCATTGATTAGACGGTGCAGGCGCGTGTCTAGAACGACAACCTCCGACCAAGGTGGACGGTGGCCTCAGATTTGACCTGTGTTCGATCATACTCTGCCGTGACCCGTGACCGGCTTTCGCTCTGTCGTGACTTTATGACTCGGACACGTTATAGAAACAAGCCAGTGTGGTGGCGATCAGAAATTGACCCCACTCTGCGCTTCCACCGCCAATCTACCGCCAATTCTATTATGAAGGCTCTAGTTCGCGACGAATCGCTCGTATGAGGTGGTGCTCCCCTAACCCTAAACCTTACCACACCCCCATGCATCCCACGCACTGAATTTTTTTCCATCAACATACCCTCACCAATTTAGGTGGGTTCGCAGCTTCACATCACATATTCTCAATTTACTCTAACAATACTCTCACCACATCTCCCGCTCTCATCCTTATTCCACCGTTTCCTCTCCCGTTATCCCATTCCCTGTCAGCACTAGCGAGCTGTCGATTCCTTGGCAGGGCCGGCAGGGCGCCAAGTTGACAGAGTCACCCGGTGTAAACGTTCCTGTGTGGCCCAGTTCCGCCGACATTCGGCCGAATCCGAAATGACTAACACATGGGATCGCCCTGTCCTGGTTAGCAAGATTACTTTCTGGGTGGCGTAGAGCGATGCTAAACAACGCATTTATGACTAAGGGAAATGTGTGGCGGAAATGTTTTTGATTGGAAATGACGGGGATTAAAAAAGTGATACGGGAAGCGTGTCATTCCATATCTTAGCACTTGATTTGTGAGGTTTGCTGATGCCTTCAAAACAGCATCGTTGTTTCTTCCAGGATTATAGACGACTCCAGGTCATACGTTTTTTTTTCGTATAAGGCCTTATTCCTTACCGGAAATTATCTTATTATTCTCCCAAGCTGAAACATTTATCTATAATGGTCTTGGTATCGTTGAGATCTTCATCTCCCAGCACCTTCTTCTTTTTTATCATGGCCCTGTTTTTCTTGACGGTTGGGTTGTATTCCAGTGAGCGCGCGCGGCCGGGCGTGGGGAGTGTAAATATTGTTTCTGGACACCTTTTGCCGCCACAGCTAAGTAGGCCCATAAAGTGGCACCGCCGGTGGCATGTCGATGGCACGTAACGTGGATGCCCTATCAGCGATGGTATGTGCTTACCGACACAGATCGTTTAGCGGGCTTCCTCAATAAGTGCACTCCTGAAAACATCAATCTTCTTCACAAATTGAGAAACGTTCCTGTGCACCGGCCAATGTAGTTTTTCCGATTTCCTTATTTCAACTCGAAAACCGTGTCCCGTTCAAAAAATTGAAATGTTAACGAGTTATCGATCTCAGCGAGGGACATTGTTATATTACATGCCACTACCTCTGGGTCGAGTCTTTAGGCTAAATCCTATGCTACCAGTGACCAGAATTGGTGCGGCATTGTGTGTCCGGCATTGTGTGTCGACAAGGTGTCCATTGTCTACCAAAATATGACATCTGACTTACAACAGATGAACAGATGACCTGAGCTCTCCGAGTTCTGACAGATGTCTGACCCGACCTGACCCCAGTGACCCGAACTGACCTGACCTGACCTCTGTGTGCTCCGACAGATGATGTCTCTAAACTCGGACGTGCTGCCGCAGTACCGTCAGGAAGCGCCCAAGACGCCGCCCCACATCCTGCTTCACTACTGTGCCTTCAAAGCCATCTGGGACTGGGCCATTCTGTGTCTCACTTTTTACACCGCCATCATGGTACCATTCAACGTCGCCTTCAAGAACAAGACGTCGGAGGACGTCAGCCTGCTCGTGGTGGACTCCATCGTCGACGTCATCTTCTTCATTGACATAGTGCTCAACTTTCACACGACATTTGTGGGGCCTGGCGGGGAGGTGGTGAGCGACCCGAAGATCATCCGAATGAACTACCTCAAGTCGTGGTTCATTATCGACTTGCTCTCCTGTCTGCCGTACGACGTCTTCAACGCATTCGATCATGATGAGGACGTGAGTACGCAGCGATGAGGCATGCCATTCTTTGGTGAATAGCTTCTGCGCTTGTTATGTCATGCCCATGATTACACCTTTTTGCGTTAGCTTTTGACCATTGGGCAAAACCTTTGTACCTACACATTCGCCATATAGGTGGCGTTACAAATGGGCGGTTGGTCACAAAGAATTACCATTGTGCAAAACTATCCGGCGATATTCCTCTACAACTCGACATTGAACGAATGGTTCAACGTTGTGCAAAACAAATCGTCAATGGTCGAAACTATTCGTGATATGCCGAGCTGGCTCCCTCTATGCCGAAGTCTGGTGAACTGTTAACCCTCGCCCATGTAGGGGGGGGTTGGTGCAACCCCCCCCCCTGAGGTTTTTCGGAAATAGTGCAAAAACGGCGGCGCGCAGCGCCGCCAAAGTTTGGGTACCTTATGGGGCAAACCTTGCGCATCTTTTGATAAAAAAAAATTTGACCGGGTCATGTCAGGTCACGGAGTTATGACGTCACAAAGGGAACAGCCTCCGGCCGGATTTTCACAAACTGAGTGCCAACGCCCGAGGTTTCCTGCCGGTGGTACGGACATCGGTTGATGGATCGTGATGAAACTTCCCATGCATGTTGGGACAAGTATTGGCTATCATATGGTATAAGAAACTTGACCGGGTCAGGTCAGGTCACGGAGCTATGACGTCACAAGAGGAACAGCGTCCGGTACTATTTTTGAAAAGCGCCCGAACCACTATTTTCCTAATTCTTGTCACCTCAATGGGAATATGCAGCAATATTAGCTTCTATAGGGAGCAAATGGACCTCCCAAATCCAAAAATACAATCAGATTTCAAAAATTTAAATTTTGATTTTTCGAATTTCTGCCGCCGACTGTGACCTTGCCGACTTCCGGCGCTCCCAACGCGCCATTTTTAGAGATAGGGAAACGAAATACATAGGTACCAAACGATAGAGAATTGATCAAGGAACACGATAGTGAAGGTTTCAAGTCGATATCTCCCACCGTGTTGCCGCAATCGCCGCGGAAAGTTGAAAAAAGTCTATTTTTCCGAAAATTTGACCTTTGACCGGTCAAAAGTAGGTCAAATGTTGACCTAGGACCAAAAAATATACCACCAATCGCGAGATCTCGGCGAGAGCAATCCTTTGGTTATTTCCGCTAAGCTCTACGACGCTCCGTTTTCAAACGCCAAGGGGGGGGTCGCACCAACCCCCCCCCTGCATGGGCGAAGGTGGCAGATCGCCGTTTACGGGCGAGGGTTAAACTGTTTTGCAGATCGCTTATTTCAGTGTTCAATCTGTTTTGCTGAATGGCTGAAATGAAACGCACCACGCCGGAATAGTTGCGCTCAATGCCGATTGTCGAAATGGCTCCTCAAGCAGTTTTGGCGAATGGTTGAATTCAAATGCAAAAAGGTGTACTACTCAACATAGTAATTTTGGGTAGCATCTTAGTACGAAGTAGAACAACGTAGTAATCAGCAGACACAGGTCATGCCCCGTGTCTTGCCTACTATTTTTAACCCTCGCATGTGTAGGGGGGGGGTCGGATGGACCCCCCCCATGGTTTTTCGCGAATAACTCGCGTAAAAAGCGGCCGATCGCGACGAAACTTTCAGTACCCTCGCATTGATCAATTTGACACCTACCCTGAAAATTTCATGACCCTGACCCAAATGACCTTTGACCTGTGACCTCTTTTCCGAGACCATGTTTGGCCGGAATCGCGATTTCGCGTATGTCGGCTCGCACTAGCCGCGTGTTTGCAAACTTTTCGTGGTTTCAAACGCTCAAACATGTGATTTGATGTTACTCCCATGTGTGTCAAGGTCACCTGAAGGTCAGGTCAGGTCATTGACCTTTGGTGACCTCGGGTGACCTCGGGTCACTTTTTCGAGTTTTACATGTTTCTAGGCTAGTTTTTGGAGCTGAATTCGAATTTAGCAACCATTTGAACATTTACGAAGTAGTTTTGGTGACTTCGTAACATGTTACGAAGCTGTCAGAGGCGGTTGACACGTACTACGAATACCGGTCACGACGCCTACTGGTTGACCTGACCTGACCTGACCCGACCTGGTCTAAATGCTTCAAGACATCATCTGTGATCAAAACTAACACGATATTCGTGATCAGCACCCCCAAAAACCTCTTAGCAGCCACACTTTACGACTTTCTAACAGGTCCCGATTTTCCCGACTTTGGGTCATTGACCTGACCTGGAAGGTCAACCAATGACCTAGGACCTTAAAATTGGGTATCATCGGCTTCCTCTCGTCACGGGCAACACGCTCGTTTTTTCCGCGAAGCTCTAGCTCGATCAGGGGCCAAACGGCAAGGGGGGGTCCAACCGACCCCCCCCCCCTACACATTAGAAGCTGGCAAACGCCGCACACATGCGAGGGTTAACTAAGTTACTTCGCATCTATTTTTCAGTACTGATAAATGAGTTCAATTTAGAAGCCAGCTTGCCTGAGCATAAGCCTCTGAACTTTGAGCTTCCAGTGTGTTCTTAGCTTCCAGTTTGTGACGTCCGTTGCCGCAAGGGAATCCGCTCAATTGAACCAAGTTTGAGGGAAGCATCAACTTCGATGATGAAGTTCGGTACCGGCTAAATGATGGATGGAGCTCAATGACAGTCGATCCGAGGCTGGTACGGTCCAGGGATTCTGGAACTGATGCTTGCGTACATTCGCCGATGATGTCGTCAGTACTACGGAACATTTGAGAACTCAATGTAGCGATCCCTGTGTAGCCAAGTGCCTGCCCTGCAGTGCACTTTGTGAGACGCAACCACGTGTTTCCACTTTCTACGTTCCACTTAAAAACAGTTTTTTTTTCGCTTCACTAACGAGCTTCCGGAGATTAAGACTGATACCATTTTCTGTTTAGCTGAACCTCAGCTAAGCCGACGACACTGACATGGTATAACAATTATTATTAAAAACTGTCTTATTGAGCTTTTAATTTAGATAACCGGGCATTTCCTGATATACATATTTATTTGCGAATATAATATTGAGATGGCGAATAAAAGACCTCCATGATCCATCCTTATGCAAAGTTTCACACAACATGATGTTGTGACTCATCTTGCAATACCTGCCCGTCACGTGTGGGTCACCTGTGGCTACATCCCGCTCCCGGAGGTCAAAATGTGGCCGCTAGGAACTGAAACAGCTCGAAGCTCGGAGCCGGGATATCCCGGAGATGAGACAACTCGAGGCCGAGACAGCTCTAAGCTCGCAGCTGGAATAGCTCGCGGAGCTGACTCAGCTCGGTGGTACTGTTCCGATCTCCCACGGTGCCGCCAAAGGGACAACACAGTCTGACATGTCACCTCTGCCAGTCAGCAGTGACGCCAACCTTAGCCGGACTGTCAGTCGACTGTCAGATTTACGGGCCGGGCTGATGGCAGGGGACAAATGTGGGCACTGACGCTCGGACGCTAAACTGGGCACGACGGAACCCGGGGTGACGCAAAGGAGCGCTCCTTGAATAGCTAAAAATTGGTCCAGTGATTAGCGCAAATGGACAAAATGAACAACTACTAGTTGTGGGAGCGATTATCTTATATGGGCCCGGTTGTGCTAACGTTAACCGACATCAGGCTCAATGTTAATCGAAGTTAATTAGCTAGACAGCTTTAATGAATGTGTTCAATGATGAAATTCCAGTAAATCATCTCCTCATAGCCACTTCATGGCGTTTTACTGAATCACTTAAATACGATAATCCGTTACGTTTCGTAAGCCTGTTCAAGCTGAATCACTTTCTTATTTATATTTTTGAGCTTGAAGATAACTTCAAATTTTGACTAAGTCCCAAATCTGACATTCAATTTAGCTTGCGCTTACATTAAAAATGCTGCCGACAAAAGTTTTGTTAGATTATCCAGCTGGCAGTATCATATGAAATCAGCTTTGCTGGGCTGTCACAATATCAGGCCGGCCAATGTGCCGGCCGGATTCTGTCGGGTTACAGTCCGTGATAAATTGATTTCCGGCAATTGGTCTGATTCGGTGAGGGCCGTGCCTCCGGACCGGACCCGTTGCCACCCGTGTCGGTCCTCCTCCCGGGCCGACATCGGTCGATATCCCTCCAGCCGACAGCTCGGGCCGCCGGCCGCCGCTGCGAGAAGCGCAATCACCAATCACAAATATTACTCGTCCTAAAATGAAATGAAGAAAATGGATAGAACCGATAGAAGCAGATGGTCGTTCACCGACGGAGTTCGGGCTAGATACGAGTGTTCCCTCGTCTTTTGAGACCAGTTTTATGTCGGATCTTTTCGTGATGAACAGCACGGCGTTTTCCATTTGAGAATTGGCTCGGCGCTGCATAGCCGACTGCTCTGCTCCACCTGGCCGTGCCATTCCGCCGTCCCGTCTGGTCCACAGACTGAACATTACTGAATGAGCAGAGACGGGGCGCGGTGGCCAGGACTGGACTGAACATGAACCCAAAGGGAGAGAGGGAGACGACTGACATTACCCTGCAGAAATACGGCGGCGGAGACTAATATTGGACATTACCCCGCAGGGAGACGGGGAGACGGCTGACATTACCGCAGGAAGACGGAGACAGATATGACTGGTGCTGAGCGTAAACCGTGGGGAGACAGGGAGTGATGATCGAATTATGGACGGTCACAGCCATGAAGGGAGACGGTGAAAGCGATTACCTGAGATGGACACAAACCTACAGGTTGCAGGATGATCGGCATTGGACAATGATGCACGGATAGACAGATGACGATGATCAGGCTGTCCTGCAGGAAAGCGGGTATTGTGCCACAGCCAACTGCCGTTCCCGATACTCCCAGAACCGGAGCTTTGTGCCACGCTGTTCCGGTTGCAGAGGACAGCTTGTGTGATCGCGTCCGTTGGAGTCGACTGTATGACGACAGGCCAGTCACTGATGGAAACAGACGGTGAGATTTGACGGGTGTCAGCCCAGCGTCCAACAGGGCGACACTGAGAAAGTGTTTGAAAACACACATTTTGTTTAGCTCCATCGCGCAGCTGAGCCTGCGTTTTGGTGTATGTAGCTTGGGAACGGTCAGCATGAAGGGTGATTGTAAAGTTGGTATTAAAATGCATCAATTTAATATTACCAATTCAGACACGTAAACAAAAAACAAGGAAATCCCATTATTGAATACTAACTAATAACGTCGTTAGAAAAACGTGTCTCCGTGTACTGAGATTGTTCGAATAAGCAATGTATTTCTTTGATGACTGTTGTGGACAAATCGTCAACTTCTGCAAACAGGATAAAACTCGCGAGAAGTACTCGCATCCGTGTAAGGCGACGAGCTGTCATTGTGCATTTAACTCTCTAAATCAGGTTCGGTAGAGCCAATATAATGTTGCACACATTACAAGCATGTCATGCTGGTATTATAAGCACTGGTAAGTCATGAAATGCAGTCAGAGAAGTCATGAAAGTCATCGTTCGCAAATGACAAAGAGACATTAATTTTTAATCGGCTGAGATCGATGTGCAATTTCTTCGGTAAAAGGAGGAACTTACCATACGAGTATATTAGCTATCAGCAGACTGCATTCAATGATGTGGAACGTTTGGTTAGAACAATGTTTAGTTTGTCTGTTTTCTTAATCGCTAACTGAGTAACAGATGGAGAGAAAGTTCGAGTATCACTCCAATTCCATAGCATTGGCTATGTTGACCTTGTAGGTAATGTAGTTACGTTTGTGTTTTCAGGGCTGACTTCGTAGCTCGATTGTATCAGCTGTGATTGAATCGGATTGATTGAATCCAGTCAGGCCTGCCAATTTCCTGTAGGCGATTAGTGTTCACAGTTTCTCGACCGCGGCGGCTGAGGGCGGTCGCTGCTATCCCGCAGCATACAGATGTAATGCGGCACAGTCTACCTTCCTGTATGTTACTGGGCTGATCCGGCGCCGCATGGAGCGGAATCGCGGTGGACATTCAGCGCGAAGAAGTGAGGATGGGCTGGGCTACGTGTCCGCGGCTTGTCAAAGTTATCGTGTAGCCTGTGTGGGTGGTGCTTATGAGTGCCCATTTCCGAGGGGATATTAGCCAATTTCGTTTGAGACTAGTTTTTATCCCAACGACAAATCGCTTCCGGAGCTAAGGGCTACGTTGTCTCCTGCATTCCTATACCTATAAAGTTTAATTACTCTATTGTTATTGAACCACCATGTGCATTTAAATACACAACAGCACCATGTCATGTTTAAAGGGACTATCCCACCTTCTAAAATGTTGTTAAAACCAGTTAAATTGTGCCCGACTTTATAGATTGGATGACCAGGAACACGGTTCTGGCATTTATTTTTCATTAAACATCTTAGGCTTCCCATATTCCAAACACAAACTTTCAAATATGTGACGTCACAGCCCAAAATTACCTCCTTCCCCAGGCCACATTACTGTCATAAAGCTGATTCTTTTTACTCTGTAGGCACCACTACAAAGTTCAGACCAAGTTTTAAGCGATTTTTCAACGAACAAACCCATTTAAATCAGAATGACTAAACGAGGTGACGTCACACTAACGGTCGCTCCATGTTGAAGATAGGGCCTTGCACAAGGCCCATTTTCAAACGAAGGGAACGAATTTCTTTAACACCAAGAGGCCGCGGGGGTTGCAACCTAGATAGATAGTGGTTTCTGAACCTCGCCGCAAACTTGGCTGTCTCAACTCAAACCCCATGTTAAAGGTGGGACTGGCCGGTAAGGGCCCTGAGGCCGGTAAGGGCTCTTAGAGACCGCTGAGCCCCCCCCCCCCCCAATTTCGACGCCAATGGTCAGATCCCATTGCAATTGAACTCACCTGAATGAAGTGAACTATTGAAGAGTGTGCCTATCATTTATCAATCCGGTGCGTAGTAGCAAAGTCAAACTGCTAGCAGCGGGCTGACCACCCATCTTACGCATGCATATCTACCGCATAAAGTACCAATATCTCGAACACCAGAGCTGTGGCGTGTTCTCTGCGTCTGCCCCTTATAACGTGTAGTCAGTTGATTGCTGATTATTGTTCGTATTTCACAAAGCGCAAGAATTTGTCACACAACAGCGACACTGTAAATGCCCTCAAGTACTCACCTCTGGCTCCCGAAACATAAGTGCCGCCCTTCCCTTGGCATTTAATGCCGCCCCCGGAGGGAGTTATTTCCAGCCCATTTTTTTAGGAGTGATTACGCCCCTGGGATAGTCCCTTTAACCCGCGCCCGGCTGGGGGTCCTGGATTTCCACGCCCTGCTGGGGGGGGGGGGTGTTTGAACACCCCCCCCCTTCTAACTCGGCTCCTGGGCCACGTAGCGATACGCGGAAGGCGGCGTTCGAAAGAGCGTCAAAAATAATGACGAAATCAGTTCGGTCAATTTTTTGGTCAGGTCAAAGGTCAGGTCACCAGAGGTCATTGAAGGCAAAATTTCGCCGATTTCCAGGTCGAATATCGAAAATTTCCAAGAAGCCAACGCATAACTCGGGAACCAATAGAGCTACAGCGCCGCGGAAAAGCGCATTCGATAGCCCTATTAACGCCCTTTCTGAGTAATTCTCTCAGATTTGACCTAACGTCAACGGTTTTGCCTGCAGGGGGCAAAAACTGCAAAAATAGCCGATTTTTTCGGAAACGGTTTTTCTGCAATAACTTTTGACCCAAGCCTTGTACGAGCTTACTTTTACCGGCATCGTGTTCCTCTCGTCAAGACGCATCGAATGAACTATAAATTGACCTTGAAAGGTCAACTTGAAAATTTGACCTCAGGTCAAGGTCATGACCTGACCGGAAAGGGTCATGTTGCATATCAGTCGATCCGTATCGTCGAGCTGAACACATCTAAGGTGTTTTCATCGCTCTAGCATGCCTCTATCAAAAGTTATTTGCGAAAAACTGTTAGATACCATTCGTGACCTAAGATGACCTCAGGGCATAAACAGGGGTCACGGACACCATTTTCATGTTCAGTGTGTCTAAACCACTTGTAATTCAGTGTTTGGGAGTGTTTATAATGTCTTTCGTCCGAAAGAGACGCATTTCAATTTTCTCCCATTGACTTATAATGGGGAGGTCGCAAAATTGACCTGACCTTAGGTCATCGATATCAAAATTCTGAGATATACATTTTGTACATGCTATTGCTCTTAGCAATCGCTGAAAGTTTCAAAGCGATCGGTCACTCGGTGTAGCTATGACAGACATTGAAACTTTTTATGAGGTGAGGTCACTTCAAGTGACCTGGTGACCTGACCTTGAATGACCTCGGTCTGAAATTTTCACAACATATGTAGAATTGATGCATGATAAGGTGTACCAAAAACGGCGGCGCGGAGCGCCGCCGTTTTTGAGATATTCGCGAAAAACCACAAGGGGGGGTGTTCAAACACCCCCCCAGCAGGGCGCGGGTTAAAAAGAAAGCAAGCAGATATTACGCAGGCTGCTAATAAGTAAAAAAAAAACATGGATCAAAATACGCATAGCGTATGGTAAGTATTTAAAATTTACCGCAAAGCCCAGTTAAATATGTTTTTTAAAACGCTAGCTTGGATTGGATATGCATTACGCGAGGAAAAATCTGAACAAAACAACACAATCTGGCACCTTCGCAATTTTCAACCCCAAGCTGACTGAAATCGTGGTGCTGCTCCCAAATATGCGGCGCGCCGTCCGAGCTGTCAGAGGCGGTCATAAAACATGCCCTGACAGGCTGACACGCCACCCCACTCTTATGGCAAATGGCTCTCCCATACTTCACGGCGTGGTCAGCGGACATGCAGAGTTTACGGCCCACCCACCGCGAACAAATGACCGACCTCACTCAGCGTCCTGGGCTGCAGCAGTGCAGAGCAGCTCGGCCGGAGCAGCTAATTCCAGCGCCGAACCGCCTGTTTATCATCTAGCGCATCAGCCTAATGCACCTGCGAGAGGCGAACGCGAAACGTATTATTTAGAGACACAATGAAGAAGAGGATAGAGATTCTCGGGCGTGGGTAAACACCATTCTGCTGGAGGAAACGGCTGAGCTACGATAAACCTGGAAGACAATGGTTTTAATTTGCGAGTGTTTCACAAACTTGTCGGTGAATGGTGATGAGTGAACACTGTTCTTCTGTCCAGCCGTGCCGTGTGGGAGTGATGACAAACAAGTATGGAATGAAATGAAGCAACTCGACACAAGCACATCCGTGATGGCGGAAAGGTTTTGACAGCCGTATGTAAAACATGGGAAAAATGACAATCTTGCGAACTATTGAGGTAGTTGCCAAAATGTGGCTGCTCAACACAGCTGAAATATTGTGACGCAAGCAGATTGTCTTCCAAAATCTAAGCAGTCGAGTCCCCGGAAGGCGATGGCATTGGGAGACAAAAGCCGGAAATGAAGTGTCTGGTCGAATTCGTCCATATCAACTGGTGTCAAGCAAATATCGACTTGACCTTCGCCTCCCCTTCAATAATTAACAGCTCTGTCTATTTGCATGACCCTTCCCTACCCACTCCTAAGTATATCGACCTCCGTTGACCTTGACATTCCCTCCCTCAATGCATACTGTAAAGGAAACCTATTTACACAACCCTTCCCCTTCCTATCCCCTCAGTGTATCGGCAGCCGGTTGACCCATCTCTCCCCACCCCCAGGGTATCGGTAGCCGGTTGACCCATCTCTCCTCACCCCCAGGGTATCGGCAGCCGTTGACCCATCTCTCCCCACCCCCAGGGTATCGGCAGCCTGTTCAGCGCGCTGAAGGTGGTCCGTCTGCTGCGGCTGGGCCGCGTGGTCCGCAAGCTGGACCGCTACCTCGAGTACGGCGCCGCCATGCTCATCCTGCTGCTGTGCTTTTACATGCTGGTGGCCCACTGGCTGGCCTGCATCTGGTACAGCATCGGCCTCTCGGACGCCGATAATGGAGTCACCTACAGGTGAGAGGAGATTACAGCCAGGTTACGGCTCAGATAAAGGGAGAGCGATAGGGTCAGATAAGGGGAGAGCTGACAGCAGGGTCACCAGAGGTGGATGGGGTGGGAGTATGGGAGGAGAGGCGTCGGAGAAGAGACTACTACAGGTGGGAAGCGGCTTACGTGGACTGTGGGCCAGACTGCTATACCAATTTAGTGACCGCCTTGTTTCGAATTCGATAAACAAATTGAAAGCTGGATAATTAACGCCATCGTTTCATCATACACCCGCTTTGAGCTTTGAGAACGTGTCGGATATTGACCACAAAGTGAAACGAGATGCAATTGCCTCTTTCGTATCAAAGAAAATAAAACTGAGCTTTAATAAGAAACTGAACTTAAATTCGATTTTCTTTATTTCTGAAAAAAGTTTTCTGCTATCAGCGAACAAAAATATATTGATTACATCTGACCTTTGATATAGGTAGCAACAGATGTAGCGAGAGTCGTACTGCTCTTATCGACGGCAGCAAACAAAGCAAACGTCGAAGTGCCCCAGACATTTCTGGTGATATGTCGCCTTCCAATGCATTTCAAATCGACAAACCATGACATTGCTCCCCGGTCTGAGTAAATCACGCTCTGACGCCGGCATAAAAACGGCCTCGAATTATTTACGTTCTTTCCTTTGAATAAATTACCTCCGACGATAAGGCGTCATTCGTGTCAGCCCGATGTATTCTTAAGTGTTTTACGGAGAAGACGGCCAGATAGGACGTCCTAGTTTGATTATTTATCGCAGAGTGGCGCTGACACGGCCCCGGTGAACGGGCCAGCGGGACCCATAATGTAGCGCGCGATCCACGGCCAAGCAGGCAGCTCGGCGACAGTTTTGACAAGTCGCCGGTGATTATCGGCATCCCTTGACGGGCGGTATTGACAGACACGCGGCGGGGAGCTGCTGAGCTGCCTGCAGCGCGCCGCGCGGAAAATTCCGCCCAACGATGGCGGCCAGATAAATGGAGAGAGGCCGAGGGAAGAGGATAGAGTGAAGTTGCGGAGCCTCGGTGTAGAAAATGGACAAAGTTTTATCAGTCGATAGAGTCTTTGAGAGGGCGACAGAGTGCGTCCATCTCTTTCTCTCTTTTTCGTACTATCTCTTTCTATCCTCTCTCTTTCCCTCTCCCTCTCTCTCTCTCTTTCTCTCTTTCTCCTCTCTCTCTCTCTCTTCCCCCTCTCTCTCTCCCTCTCTCTCCCTCTTTTTTAACTTTTTAGCTCTGTCTCTCCTTCAACACCTCCTGACCCTCAAACCATCCCCTCACCACCACCGTCACTCCTTTTCAGCTGGCTGTGGAAGCTGGCTAACGTCACCCAGTCACCCTACGAGTACGTGTGGTCCAACGAGACGATGGCACCGGTGCTGGTTCGTGGCCCCTCCAGGAAGACCATGTACGTGTCCTCTCTCTACTTCACCATGACGTGCATGACCAGCGTCGGCTTCGGCAACGTGGCCGCCGAGACAGACAACGAGAAGATCTTCACCATCTGCATGATGATCATTGCAGGTGAGCAGACGAGTCATGGTGGAGTTAGGGGTGAAAGGACAATAGGTGGCTGTGAGACGGTGGAAGAACTGGAAAATGGATTGAAATATGAACGTGATCTGTACTCCTATATAGGTCCAGCAAGTAGCGTATGCAAATTTTAGTTATGTTTCGTTCCTTTTTAGATGCCTTCATATTGTTTTATTTTCCGGTTTTATTATTTCATTGGGCTTGGAGTAGAAAAATGAATGAAATTTTTCATCCTATGAATAAACCACCTTGGTGCTATTTCAAAAAATTTCCTTGTTACAGTCACTCATTCAGTCATAAGGCTAGTAAACTTTGTCTGTTGCGACTCTTCAACAGCGTCCAGAGGCAGTCAGACATCAAACTTTGGGCTCTTTATTCTTACAAATCACCCAACTCCATTCTACATGTCGCCAAGGGTGGCAGGGGCCGCTATAGCGATGGTTTTGAGCGCACCAGGTTCGGTGCTGGCGCACCACTGGTGTCACTGCTTCCATCGCGGCGCGCCCGAGCCACAGGAGAATAATGGCGTGGCCGTGCCGCTGCCGGGGACAAATTTGGCGCGTCTCCGCCCACAAAACAGCGGCTGTCGTCACGAGCGATCGCCCGGAGGCACGCACCACCGCCGCGACCCTATTTCGGACAGTCACGCGGCTAAATGGTGCGCCGCTTTTGTCAGAGCTAATGAAATGGGACGAATGAACGGACGCAAAAATATTGGGCTGTTGATATCTTTTGCAATGCCGCAGCAACCCGCAACATACCCAGTAACATGTGAAACTAAGCAGTGCTGAGTAGAAATATATATGCTGGTCCTCTGGGAACAAACGATGCCCACCTCCGCCCCGCCATCGCCCCCGCCCCTTCTGCTCGGCGCCTAATGACAAATGACATCATGTCAGCCGCCAGCGCCCGGTTTGGCGAGCAAAAAATAGCACCACGGCGTCCCCTACCCGGCGACTGTTTGACGGTTTTTGTTGAGGGCCGCCCTCCAAATGACTGCAGACTGCCGGCGGCCCTGCCTCTGCTGTCAGACGTCAGAGTCTGACGGCCACCAAGTCTGAAGTCGGCTCGTTAGAGACCTAAAGATGGTGGTCAGTCATTAGCAGGGCGAGGGTTTTGAATGATATCACAAAATAGATATAAACGTAACCTTGCATTTTGAACAAGTTGTCAGGGTTTTGTATGTTTTCTAATTTAGTTTTGATGAATTACTTTAGCCACTTTTACAGTCAATGTTCGCGCAATTACAAATTGAAGGGCTAAAGTGACACGTTTCTTTTCAGGCCCCGACGATAGTGAATAGATGTAAAGCTGCTAGTTGAAGTTTTGATTAATAATCAATTTTTAGGAACTTCAGTGCCTGGTTCCTAACATAGAAGCCTGACTTTTTTAGCATAACACCCAAAACACCCAAAGAATAGCATAATTCTGCAAATTTAAAACTTCAAATTTAATCAATCCGCATAATTTTGCGGAGAGTGAAGGGCTATGGCTGGTGCGCCGCTTTTGTCAGAGATAATGAAACGAGAAGCTTAAAAAGCTTTAGGCTTCTCGTGAGGTCAAGTTTGCGAATATTTCTAGCCCCACCAGTTCAAGCATGCCTATTTTCAACGTGAGGCCACCGTCTCCTCCCAATGTACTGTGATGGGGCCACCACGGTCACCACCACCCCACGAGTAAGGTGGTGTCAGAACATCTTTGAGATGTCTGCTTTTAACTTACCACGGTGCGTACTTTAAATGACTTTGGCGTGTTTGACCGTCATCCAATTACATCAGACCATTATTTTAAGTGCCCTGGGACCGGACCTAATCAAAACAAATATCCTCTGCGGTGGTCGAACCAGTCACGATAATTATCATTCACGACACCTTGAGGGAATCGCCGTCGTAGACTCGTAACAGGTCACAAACGTTTTTGTGTGGTTGGTAGATTGTTTGCGTGGTTATCCTAGAGCTGTTTACAGGTTCGTTTACTGGGAAGCCAGCCAAATTGATTCATACCTACATGCAAAGCGAAAGGGTTTTGGTTTAGGTGTAAGTCTTTTTTCCAGCTACCTTTGTTTCGTTTTAAAGAACTAAGAAGTCACCATTTAAATAACTTTTCCGAGTACTTAGCCTCAGCAGCCGTGAAATGGCTTGGCTTGCTTGTTTATCCTCTGTCGTAGACTAAAACTTTTCTGGGCCGTGTCGAAAAATGCAGTGTCCCGGCCCGAGCGGGCGTGTCTCACCAAGGAAATTACGGGCTTTCATTGCATTGCTTTATTTTCAGTAATATTAAATGTTACGAACATCACTTAATTGTTGACATTCATGAGCCGTTTTCACGACGGGCTATCCGGCGAGTGCACTTAATTTGACCCAATCTGCACCTAATCTCTATTACAGCAAATATTTTTATTTATGTATTTATTTCAGTGTTTTAATCGACGATACTCTACGATAATATGACAAAGCAGGCATATAAACAATTAATGTAACCCTAGTTAGTAGCTACGAAGAGACACACTGAACCTAATTTGACCAAATCTGCATCTAATCTGCACCAGATGTGCACCAAATGTGTACCAGATGGCCGTCGTGAAAACGGCTATTACGAACCAAGCTGTTAGCCTTTAAGAACAATGTGCATTCAAATAGCGAAGTTTCTACCTGTGATCTTTTTATTCCTACATATCAATGCTACCTCAAAACTGAAGTCTGCGAAGCAATTTGATCTATTTTCATCCAAACCCTTCTTCTCCAATTCTGGTGCGGGAAAACAATAGTCCACTCCGGTCTCATTTTCTCCAAGAGTCGCCGAGAAAGCTTTGCCCAATTGGCTTTGTTAGGGATATATGTTAAAGGCGCCAGCGCCGAAGGCGCACGTGTTATTCACAATGTGTTGTCGATTATTGTCATTGAGTCGACGAGTTAAGTGATTTATCATTGTGAGTCAGTCAGGCGGTGCGCTTGACCACGAATGGTAAGCTGGGGTATGTTGGCATGCACAATACAAGAACAAGGACGTGTGCACGATTTCTAACACTGGCGCGGTCGCATGTTCACTTTCCTACGTGCCGCTAAATCATTTTCATTGTTAAGTCATGTCCTTGCTGAAGTTGTAGCGGTTTTATTAATTTCACTCGGATAACGTAAGCATATTTTGTCGTTTTTCACGTGACTTTTTTGGCGGTCATTTAACTGTTATATCGAAATGGATCACCACATACTGCTCATGTCCCACTTTGAGCATTTTTCTGGAACCGGCTCTCAAAATTGGCAGCAATGGGTGCGTCGTTTCGAAGCCAAGACCTCGGCGCTACCGGCTGCCGACCGACTTCCGTGCCTGATCAGCGTGCTGCAGGGTGGTGCGCTGGATTTTTTTGCATCCCTGCCGGAGCAAATTCGCGGGGATTATCAAACCACCAAGAACGCCCTGGCAGAGCGCTATAGCCAGCTACAGAATCCGCTGCAGGCACAAGTGGAGCTGGCTCGCGCCTGTCAACAGCCGGGTGAGACGGTATCGGACTTTGCCGACAGACTGCGGCAGCTGGGCCGCCTAGCCCATCCGCAAGCCGTCCCAGATGACCCGACGCTCGACGCCAGTCTGCGAGGCCTCTTCATATGTGGGCTGAGAGACGCTGGACTGAAGAGCGTGCTCTGCAACAAAAGCCCAGACTCTATGGACGCGGCGGTGAAGATCGCTCGCGAATTCCAGAGCCAGCAGACTGCGCTCATGGCCATGCAGCAGTTTGGAACGGCAGTGGGAGCACACGAGGCAATGACACCGCAAGTCATGGTGGCTTCAAGCGGCGGTTCCGGCGTTAACCAGGCCGTGGCTCTCCAGTCTCTGGAGCGCCGCATGGACGACATCCAGCAGGCTCTGCAGCAGCTGTGTACCGACGGCCCGAGGAGGCAGAACACCGGCGGCCTCGCTGAAGATGGCGACGGCGGCGCCCGGAGAGGCACCGCATTCGTATCAGGAAACCGCCGTCCACCCCCTCGGTGTTTTGACTGTGGCGATTCGGGACACACCCGACGATTCTGTCCCAAACGGCGCGGCCATACTGAGGGCCGACAGTGCTACGCGTGTGGGGAAATAGGGCATCTATTTCGTGATTGTCCCAAAACTTGTACCGCAGGGGGGCCCTTCTGTCTGCGCTGTAGACGTGATGGTCATTGGATGTCCGACTGCAGTCTGCACGGCCCGGCCACGATGGGCGGTGCGCCCGCGTGCCCCGGTGCCGGACAGACCCAGGGAAACTAGATGCAGCTGGCATTGAGGGACAAATGTCAGCCGGGCGTCCATCAGGGTCCCACCTCACAGCGTCGGTCGTTGAAATACAGATTGGGGGGAGGCGAGTGTGGGCCCTGGTGGACACCGGGGCCGACTTCTCGATGATGCGCGAGGGTCTACACGATACATTGGGAAGGGAACTGACACTGCCCACTCAATCAGCGACAGGAGCGGGCGGAGAGCCGCTCCACATCGCGGGGGTAATTCACAAAGTACCAATCACCATCCAGGGTAAAGAGTTCCTGTGTGACGGCGTCGCTGTTGTAAGGGGTTTGGTTTACGACCTCGTGCTAGGGCGAGATTTCTGTTGCCGATTCGGCACGATAATCGATGACCAGGAGGGCACGCTCAGAATTGGGGAGCTAACCGTCCCTTTGCCTCTCTACTCCGACATCTGGCCTCGCCGTGCACGAGTGTTGTTGGTGACTAATGTCACTATCCCGCCGCGGTCTACCATGCTGGTGGGAGCGAGGGTAAACCCAGTGGGCGGTAAGTCGCGCAGGCTGATCGCAATTCAAGGGGTTCTGGAACCCAGTGCGACCCAAGGGATAGCTGATGTGCTGGTCCCGCGGGAAATAGTCACCAGTGACGGCAGCGGACTAGTCCCGCTGCAGCTCACCAACACAGCCTACGAGGAAGCACGGCTTCTAAAGGGTACTGACTGTGGCACTTTTTACCCTTTTTTCCCGAGCGGCGAGAGCGAGTTCCAACTGTGTCCAGACCAGGCTCCGCACGTGGTAGCCAGCACTGTCGCAGACGGCGGTGTGCCTCGTGACAGCGCTGGCTCTGAGCCCGCAAACTCAGTCATACCGGATTTGGGTCTTGGAGACACAGCCTTATCACCGAAGGGAAAGGAGAGAGCTCAGGAAATTGTGTCCGCCTATAAGGATATTTTCAGTCGGCATGACGGCGATATCGGCCACACGCACTTGGTAGAGCATGTCATCGACACGGGAAATGCAGCACCGATTCGACAGCCCCCACGCCGTATCCCCGTTTCGGTGCGAGCTGAAATTGAGGAGCAAAAAGAGCGTATGCTGCAGGACGGCATTATCGAACCCAGCACGAGCGCGTGGTCGTCGCCGGTGGTGCTCGCGCGTAAGAAGGACGGTACGTTCCGATTTTGCGTGGACCTACGCGCCGTGAACGGGGTCACCAAAGGTCACGCACACCCGCTACCCCGTGTAGACTCTACTCTGGATTGTCTGGCAGGCGCGAGGTTCTATTCGACGCTAGACTTAGCCTCGGGGTACTGGCAGGTGGGGATTGCCGAGGAAGACCGTGAGAAGACTGCCTTCTCCACGGGGACAGGGTTGCACCAGTTCCGGGTCATGGCAATGGGCCTGAAAAACGCTAGCGCAACATTTTAGCGGTTAATGGAGCTGGTGCTATCCGGACTGGATACGCAAACGTGCTTGGTATACCTGGACGACCTCATCATCTTCAGCCAGACGGAGGATGAGCATCTAAAGGCGTTGGAAGCGGTATTCGAACGCATCCGGGCCGCAGGACTCAAACTAAAGCCCAAAAAATGCCAGATAGCACAAAAGGAAGTCACTTTCTTGGGACATTTGGTGACGGAAAAAGGGATCCAGCCAGACCCGAAAAACGTTGAGAAGGTACTCTCATGGCCAAAACCAGAAACTGCAGAGGAGATGGCGAGTTTTCTCGGCCTATGTGGGTACTACGGCAAGTTCATAGCGAACTACACAGAGGTTTGCAAACCACTGCGCGACGCGGCCCAAAGACCGGGACGGTTGCAGTGGTCCGATGAAATGCACGAAGCGTTTGAGCATCTCAGGCGAGTCTTGGCGGCGCCCCCAGTTCTGGCCCTTCCCACGTTCCGAGGAACTTTCATCTTGTACACCGATGCCTGCAACTCATCCGTCGGGTCAGTTCTTAGTGAGCTGGTCGATGGGACGGAGCGAGTAATCGCCTATGACAGCAAAGTCTTAACCAAGGCCCAGGTGAAATGGCCCACATATGACAAGGAGCTGTGGGCTGTGGTTCACGCCATTCGAAGGTACCGACAATATACAGTCGGGTCAAAGTTTGTCATTGTCACTGATCACAAGCCGCTCGCCAATATCCCAGGATCGATCGCGGTGGAGCGCGATGGAACTGGCCGTCGAGGCCGATGGGCTGTTGAGCTCAGCTCGTTCGAGTTCGAGGTGAGAATCAGGGCGGGCTCCGCCCATGGCAATGCAGACGCCCTCTCGAGGCGGCCGTCTGGGACCGAGACTTACAAGGAGCCGGCCATTGTCGCGCCGGTCCTCAGTCGGGGGGTCGTGTCTGCAGCGGTGCGAGCGGCGGAGGTACAACGGACCGGTCGCGCCGCCCCGACGGCTTCGGTTATGATCCGGTGTCTGCTTGTGGCCGTCGTGTCCTTATTCTCTCGGATATTCGCAGGGTGGTACTCGCCCGCCACCCGCGATGAGTCAGCGGCAGACCCACTGAGGAATGGGGTTGCGTCTCAGGGGCTAGGCTCGGTGGAGGGCGGTGCGCCCTCGCCGGGGGCGTGTCAGGAGTCAGGTTCGGTACAGAGTTGCTCGCCGGAGCCGTGTCTGGGGTCAGACCCGACGTGGGGCGGTGTGCCCCCGCCGGAGATGACAGCGGCTGGGGCACCAGACGACAGCGCCGAGGCGGCACAGGAGTCAACGGGCGACAATACGGACGCAGGGTCGAGTGAGCGGCTGGGTGCGCCAGGGCCCGACCCGGTGAGGGCCGGTTCACCAACACTTGGGTGTTCTGGCGGTGACGCCGTCCCTCGTGTCGCGGCACCGGTCACCAGCGCCGGAGCGGCGACGGATCGTTCTCCCGTAACAGCCATGGATCCGACCGACCTGCAACAGGCTCAGCGTGACGATCCGTCTCTGGCGGCCATTAGAAACTGTATACGGGAGGGCCTGACCCTGGATCCAAAGGAGCACGGAGAATGGTCAGGGACTTTGAAACATCATGGTCGAAAAATGGCGATTGTCGAAGGGGTGGTCGGCATCGCAGACGATGGCAAATTTAGGGTCGCTGTTCCTGAGGAGCTCCGTGTGGGGATCTTGAGAATGGCGCATTGCCATCCCAGCAGTGGCCATATGGGAAGGAAACGAACAGCGCGTCGGCTACAAGAGCGCTTCATCTGGCCAGGGATGAGCCGCGATGTGCGTGCTTTTTGTGACTCGTGTGTGCCGTGTCAGCGGCGGAGTGTTCCCGGGCCGAATATGAAGGCTCCTTTGGAAACAGAGACGCCCTCGGAGCCATTCGAAAGAGTAGGTATCGACATCACGGAGATGCCGACGTCTACCGAGGGCAACCGGTATGCGTTGGTGATAATGGATTATTTCAGCAAGTATGTACGCGTGTACCCGCTGAAGGACCAGACGACGGAGACGGTGTTGGATGCGTTCATGGACTGGGTATACGCATTCGGTGCTCCGAAACGCCTACATTCCGACCAAGGCAGACAATTTGAATCACGCCTATTCCAGGCCATGTGTGAGACGATGGGGATTCGGAAAACTCGGACTACTCCCTACCATCCACAAAGTGATGGGATGGTTGAAAGATTCAACAGGACTTTAAAGGATATGATCAGCAAGTATATTCGAACCGACGGGACGGACTGGGACCGGAAAGTTCAGCCGTGTGTCTTCGCGTACAATTCTTCGGTGCACGCGGCGACAGGTCACACACCCTTCTTCTTACTGCATGGACTCGAACCTCGGTCTCCGCTGGACGTCGCATACGAGATGCCGACCGCGCTGATTCGGCCAAGCAGTTACATGGAAAACCGTCTCAGTGCGCTGAGGGACGCACATGCCAGGGCGCGGTCCAATATGACGAGCGCAGCCGCCGAAGCAGCACAGCGCTATGATGCTATGAGCCGGCAGGCGAATTACCGCAACGGGGACCTGGTGTGGGTTCGCGATTTCCGAGCATCGGCGGGAGGGAAACCTAAACTGGGACTCAAATATAAGGGGCCATGGACAGTACTTGGTCAACCAGACCGAGGTGGCGGGGGCGTCACGTACCGAGTGAAAGACAGTGATGGTGGAGAGAGGGTGCTGCACCACAATATTCTGAAGCCGTATCGGGGGCCGGACGCGGGGGAGAGCCAATGCATGGGGCGGAACCTTAACTCCGAGCCCGGCCAGGTGCAAGGCGGAGCGCCTGCACCAGAGGGCAGGGGCGGGGTGTCCGACCCATTGGTAGATGCATGGCTGGGCAGCGCTCCCGGTCCAGCCCCACTGGGCGCAGTGGGGCGTCCCGGCGCTACTGAGGAGGGTCCGGAAGTGGCTTATGGCCCACCCACCCCGGTGTTCACACGATACGGGCGCCTGTCGCGCCCAGTGGCGCCTTTCAGCAATGGATGAGCCGGAAGAAGACAATGAGGCGCACTGCAGTGATGACATGTGTACATAGCCGTATGATGTGAGCGTGTGTTTCGGAGAGGGGAGGGGTGTTAGGGATATATGTTAAAGGCGCCAGCGCCGAAGGCGCACGTGTTATTCACAATGTGTTGTCGATTATTGTCATTGAGTCGACGAGTTAAGTGATTTATCATTGTGAGTCAGTCAGGCGGTGCGCTTGACCACGAATGGTAAGCTGGGGTATGTTGGCATGCACAATACAAGAACAAGGACGTGTGCACGATTTCTAACACTTTTCGGAGAGGGGAGGGGTGTTAGGGATATATGTTAAGGGCGCCAGCGCCGAAGGCGCACGTGTTATTCAAAATGTGTGTCGATTATTGTTATTGAGTCGACGATGGAAGTGAGTTATGTGTGTGAGTCAGTCAGGCGGTGCGCTTGACCACGAATGGTAAGCCGGAGTATGTTGGCATGCACAATACAAGAACAAGGACGTGTGCACGATTTCTAACAGCTTGCTTTATCCAAGCCCCATTTTTGGCTCTGCGGCAAAATAATGTGGAAATAATCCTAAGTCTCAAGTTCGGGCAGCTTTGTACACAATGGTGCTGTCTCAGCATCGCGGGATGAGAGGATTGCTGCTCTAACACTGAATGCAGTCGCCATCTTTCATCAGTTACAGATATGTTTGTACCTAGTCTTCGAAGTCTTCTGCGGTGGTCTTAACGTCCTCGAGTGCTGACTTCTGGTATCTGGCCATTAGGCAGGGTTCACAGGTCCACGCGTTAGTTACAGTATTGCTCCAATCCACCGCTATTTCACACGCTGTCCTATAGCCTGATATCGCATCTGGATCCCACGTGACTCCATGTAACGTTCCCCTCCCTCCTATTGCAGCGCTTCTGTACGCCACCATCTTCGGTCACGTGACGACCATCATCCAGCAGATGACCTCGGCCACGGCCAAGTACCACGACATGCTCAACAACGTGCGCGAGTTCATGAAGCTGCACGAGGTGCCCAAGGCGCTCTCGGAACGCGTCATGGATTACGTCGTCAGCACGTGGGCCATGACCAAGGGCATTGACACCAACAAGGTAGAGGGCGAGGCGAGTGGCGGGTGCGGTCCTCTGCCGGGAGCCAGGTGACACCGCCGGGCTGGCGGATTTTCGAACATTATTTCTCTCTCTATTTTTAAGAGATTTTCCAGTTTACACTGCAATTTACCCTGCCTGCTCTGAACCCATCACGCTACCTGCGGTTCTTGATTGAGTGATCCCGCTGGTGCCTTCCCTCCCCGTACCCACACCGCCAACACCCAGCTCTGATATACGAGCCATGCTGCGCCGTGCCAATAGAGCTAACTCAACACTCGCCAGTCGCTGGATGATGGAAGTCACCGAGTCCAACGAGATTTAACAGATTTAATGAGATCTCCTCCAGCGGAGAATCGTTCACGGCAGGCTTAACTTTGGTCAAATGGCTCTCACGGGCCCGATGATTATTCTTCGAATGGAACGTCCAACTTAACGTTTTGGCCGTGAAAGGCGCAAACGTGACGATCAGGGGATAGAGTAACGCACGAAAATGTTCAGTCATGTTTCTAAAGCTATCCAAAGTTCCAATGACATTCAACTGTCTCACACTTCAAATGTGCTCAATCATCCTTTTTGCTGACGTCATAGCATCCACTCCTTACATAACAACAAGGCTGTGTAGCATTGATTCATCGCACAAAAGCTTTGTTCTATGAATCTGCGTTTACGTTGCTCGTGGTCTAATTATATCTGAAGATAAGGTGCAATGCCTGTTACCAAAATGAAATATTTAACGCCGCCAATCGGTTAAACATATGGCCCTTTCACACGTAGCAACTTTTCCGGTCGCCGGCGACGGCAACTGTCGCCGGCGATCGCCAGCGACCGGGGTCAGTCGCCGGCGATCGCCAGCGACCGGGGTCAGTCGCCGGCAACTCCGCAGTTGTCGATATCAGCTGACCAGTCGCCGGGGTGTGACGTAGCAGTCGTGTCAGCCAATCATTGAAGAGTTGTCGGCGTTGCCGAGAAAGTTCAATTTTTCCAACATTTTGAAGTCGCCGGCGACTGTTCTAGCCAGCCGCCGCTCAACTGTCACGTGACCCGCTTGACCTTGAGTTGGCACCAGATATTGCGCTGCTGATACATGCAGCGGCGCAGCTTATTTTACTGCATTATTCAAGGTACTAAATATTTGGACATGTTTTGCAGGATGATAACTACCGTCTAGGTAATATTGGAATAATATTTATTAGATCTATTATTGAAACAATACATAATATCAATGAAAATACAATCAAACTGCGATTCTTCTACATTGGAATTCAATGCACTCAAGCATAAAACTGAAAAGTGATATGTACTTGCAGTTCCTCCATTTTTCCTAACGCATCAGCCAAGACTACGTGTGCTGCAGATTTTGCTCACCTGTCTTGTTTATTCAACTACAACCCTGTTCTCAATAAATGAATAACTTCGCTGTAACGACATTAGCATTGAAGGAATGGTTGGTGGTAAGCATGGGACAATCACAGTGATTTGTGGTCACACATTTGAACCGTGCTTTGTATGTGAAAAACAGAAAAAAGGCATTCTAGAAATGTAGCAGAAATTCAAATGCCAGAAACGGACCTGAGGAACGGCGAAGCCTACCACCCACATAAAACACAGGCTTTCATTATGTCAAAAACAGATGCTGTATTATCTAAAGCGCTGGATTGGGGAACACAAGTGTACCCCCCCCCCCTTATAACAAAATGCATTTTTCCACACAGTGGATATCACTAAACATGGCGAGGTGACAGTATATGACACCATACGCGCGACCACATAAAAATGCAGCACGCGCGGACACGGGGCAAGGACGGTGGCACAATATGCCGATACCCAAGAAGAGACAAGCCTAGGTCAAAGGTGACAATACTGTGACAGAAATCTTAAAATCAGCCTGGACACAGCTCACTCTTCATGACCGTTTTTATCGAAAATAGACCAACAAAACACCAAGGCTCCTTCGTCCAAAACTCAAAACTCGACATGCCGCTCCAAAGGCCTTGCAAAACAGCGCACACCAACAACGCATAATAGCCAGCAACGCACACGACAGGATTTTCGAGGCCCGAGTCGTCAGCCGCCGCCGCCGCCACCTCCCGGCAGCTGATTGCTGAGTGCCTTGCTCCTTGCCCACCGGCGCCGATCGTGGCGACCTCTTTACTCTGGCAGAATCGACCCTACCGAGCGGCGACAGCATTCAGAAGCAAAATGACAAATGAATTCACTGCACTTATGTCAGAAAATCGAATGCACATGCCATGGTCACACGCGGTGCCGTCCACGGGGCCGGCAGAAGCTGCTCACTGTCACCGAACACCACCTGCACCTTGGACGCAGTATGTGAGGGCTTGGCGGACGCGCGCCGCCTCGCGTGCGGTATTGGCATCAAGGCCCGGACACGATGGAGTACAGTCACACTCGGCGCAATCAGAGCACACCGTCCGGGGCCGTCAGTGTCGATCTCCTGACCTCACAGAAAGTTGTGCAGCACACAGGTGAACGCCGTCAGTGTGGTGACTGGTGCGCAGCACACCGTCCCACGGAAGATCGTCTGTGGGCCGTGGTGCAGATGCTGTCTCTAGGCAGAGTCAACAGTGCAGTGGCAGAAGTTGAACATTCAGCTGCTAGACTCCTTTTCGGGTCAGCAATGCCGTCGAGTTGGCCATCAGGTGGTGTTGCAGAATCATCAGGTACTCTTGATCAGGTACATCAGGTACAGAACCTCTTGACTCATCAGGTAACGCTGTGACTTGTCTGCCAGGCACAGAGGGCGGACATGTCAGAACATACTTCAAATACATTTTTAAAAATCATTTTTTAACCAAAAGCTCTGCAAATTAGGAAGCCTGGAATAGGCTATTGCTTAGCATCATAAAAACTACCCAAATACCCAAATCAGGTTAGGCTTGGTTTACCCAAATACCCAAATCAGGTTAGGTTTGGTTTTTACACTTCAGGCTAAAATGAGAACTATCTTACATCATTATCTTTGATGTAGCATTGTTGACGCTTTTTGTCTTGCACAATTGGCAATCAGTATTCAGTGACACAGAATTGGATTTGTGGTTCAGAAACCTAGCATTATTTCACACCTAGCATTTTAAGGCAGTGCTCATTCTTTTTGAAAGCAAGTGTATTTTTTAATATAATTTTCTAGGTAATTCATTTCCTACTGAATATGGTTATGAGACCATTGTTACTAATTTTGGTATTATTAAGGCAGCTGTAGCATGAGTGGGCATATGCTGTAGAGACTGGAGTGATTAAAGTCACTAGAGGCTTGAGGGTTTTTTTTAGACATTATGCAGCAGCCTGGGGAGATATGCAGAGGCAAGTCTAGGCACCACCAGAAGGGGGACAAACAGTCAGCACAACACACAGCGGGCACAAGGGGAGAAGATTGTAAAAACTATTGCCTGGATCCACCTCTGTGGACATCCTCAGGCATGCCTCTGTGGACATCTCCAGGCTGCTGCATGTAAAAAAAAGTATCAAGCCTCTAGTGACTTTTTCCACACTGCAGCAAATGCCCGCTTATTCTTGGTCTGCTCTACCTTCCTCCAATTATGAGTTTTGTGTGAAAATGACATTTTTACATTGGTGGAGCTTGTGTGCGCATGGTACACATAAGCCATGCCGGCAGCATTGCTGCAATGAATAGAAAACAGCTCCAGGGCCAAAATACATACCACCTAATACCTTGCCAAAATACATGACATACCACCTACTGGGCATACTGCAATTATTTATGTACTAATAAGCCATGGATTATCATTTGCCATGTGAGCATGCACACACATGCGAACCCAATGCGGATTAAGTTTGGCCTGGGTTGTTTATCCATGGTACCAAGGAAAACTCCAGCAGAAACAATAACAAAATTGCAAAGCTACCTGTTTGATTTTGATCATGCTAATTAATGAGCAGCAATATAATATTTTGTTGCTATCAAATATTTCCTTGTGTCGCACGAATAGGTAGGCAAATAGCTGACTGATGGGTAGGCACTTTGTCCTCAAGGGCACTGATACTGAATGTAAACAATGTTCTTGTGACACAACAAGCAAGTTTTCATTACCTTATGAAACTAGTGTCAATTTCAATGTCATTAAAATATTCAATTTTGATGAAAAAATACATATTTATCACAAATAAAAATCATGGGTGATCATGGGCAAGTGCGCCACAAATGACATAAACCCTCCAATATTGTCGAATCAAGCTTAAATTCAAGTCACAACAGCTTCACGACAGGCAAACTACAAGATAATAATCCCTATGCTACTGTGCAACAAATTTAAGGTAGCCACACCAACCAATTTAGGAAAAAAATGCATCACAAATCACCTAAACCACTCACCAAGGACAAAACTGTCATGGCGGCGTCCGCTGCTCGAGAAGAGTCGCCGGCGACTGGCCTGTGACGCGGATCTGACGTCACCAGTTGCTGGCGATTGCCCGGCCGTGGCCCGGCGATCGCCAGCGACTTGCTTACGTCATACCTACGTCACACACGATCGTTGGCTGGCGGTCGCTGGCGGTCGCCGGCGACTGCTGCTGTCGCCGGCGACTGAAAAGTTGCTACGTGTGAAAGGGCCATATAGTTTCGTACACGTAACTGGCAATGCACTATCCATAAACTAGAGCCAAATATAACCCGAGCCAATTTTAATCCTGGTATAATTTTTATACCACAGGAATCAAAAATAAATTAGGAGGTTCGGTGAAAATTCGCAACATTTAAATGATTCCGTGACTCTTCTTGAACGTTTTGATTTAGTAATGTGTGTCTAGGTAGACTGTAAATGTGCAGAATCTAGCAAAAAAAAAAAAAACATCTCAAAGCCCTGTTTCTTTGCATTAAACGCTTCTGGTTCAGCATCTGTTGATTTCCTGGGGCCACTAATACAAGACAGCCTGGTCAATCAATACCACCATTAGTGGCTGTTGTTTGCGCAGTTAAATCACGCGGTCCCCCTGGGATGCAGCGGTCGTTCCGCCCAGCCGGCTGCCGTGTCTGAACCGGTCGGGATTGGAGAGGTTCGGCGCAGCTCCGGACAGGTGCGGCGACTCCCAGAAAATCTCAGCGCCCTGGTGCGCCACCAACTTTTGCCAGTTTCATTTATTTCTCGCTGCCGCCGCTGCCGCCGCCACCGCAGCCGCTAACGCAATATGCCGGCAGCCTCCGACAACTCTGGGGGGGGGGGGGGGCGACGTCGGTCGCATTCCGAGCAGACTGAACAGCTGCGACGCAACAAACAGCAATCTGGCGCGGCTGGCGGCGCGGCGGCGGTCTCATTCGGACGGTATATCGGCGGATTACCTCTGTTGTCATGGTGGCCGCGCGGCAAACACCGAGATCCGTCCGCCGGCCGGCCCAACTATCCCCGGATTATTGGCCGCGCGTTACTGGCGTGTTTTTCCAGTCATTGGCTGCGGCTGCAGCGGGATATGTGGCCAAATATTCCTCTCTAACGAAGCCAACCGTGTCTGTTCGCTGCCCGCCGCGGAAAGCTCCCCCCCCCCCCCTCGAGCCAGCGTTACCCCGCTCCAGTGTAACACACGGGCTCCTGTTGGATCCTGGTGAGCTCAGCTGACCGGGACGCCGAGAGGCTGGGATCGATTCTCCCCGGCAGGTCGGCCGGCACGACCCCTCCCCCGACCCCCAGGATAGTTGTACATACCCTCTCTCGCTGCCGCGCTGTCAGTTACTCCGGGCTCTGAGCTCGGTTTGAGTGGAGCTGAGCCGGTTACAATAGCGTTGTTCTAGTTGTAACGAAGCAGTGTTTTCGTGAAAGAATAAAACCCCTACAAACAAAGGAAGAGGCTCTTCAAAACCAGATCAAAACCAGACAAGTGATTATTTTTACAAGACAATGGCTTATGCAACATCAATCTGCTGTGCATCTATTAATTTACCATCCAGCGACTTTAAGCATTGCGTTCAATTAAAAGGGCTCATAGCATGATGTGATTTAAAGTTAGAAAACGAACGCATATATGAAAGCAGCGTCAACTGCACATATCGTCCTTTTTGTCAAATATTGTTCTTCTAAAACACATTGACAGAATCCATCATAATCCCCAAGTCCATGAAACGCTACTTAGCTGCAGCACAATTATGCAATATGCATGACGTTACAATCACCTTATCACCTCGCCATCATTTAGGCTTTGCCTGGGTTTCGGCACCAATGTTTTCTCCATGACGAGGAAATACGTTTGATTTGCTCCGAGTTTCCAGCCGGTCGGTAACGCCTGGCCCCGCTGCAGACGGCTGGCCCGCCCTCCCGTGTGAACCGACCCTGATCCTGTGCACGTGCCAACCGCCGCACGTGGCCGTGTGCACGTGACGCCTGACGCATGTGATCGTGTGCACCCCGCCGCACGGTGTAGTATTGACTTGAATATCACCGGCCGCACGTTTCATGACTGTTGCTCGTTGCTCTTGTCACCGGTTGCACGTTCTAGTAGCTGCCGCTTTTTGTGTTCGTTTCTAGGTGAATTAGTAACAGCGAGTGAAACACGTTAAATATGGAGGTAGAACTGTTTGTTATAAATCATACAAGAGCCACCTATGGTATGCAAGACCAACTGTGGTGTTTATAAGCTAGCTGCATTCGGCATTCCTGGTCGATCGTTGTCGTGAAGATTAACATGAAATGGTTGTTTGGCATTGACTTGCCGTATAATATTAACCTCCATTCGCTATTGGACAATATTAGACAATATTATTCCGCTAGATTTTAATATGCGCATTCAAGCATTCAAACCATTCGTTTCCATTGTCAGAATATGTTTTAGAAAAACGCTGTAAATTAGGTTTCATGTCAGCAAAAAAAAAGAAGTTGCAACAGCATTCAATTTCTGACCAATAAATAAGCAAGTCATTGATTGGCTGACGACTGACGCTTAGGTAAGTACTTCCGTCTTACATTGTGTACGGACACATATCTGTCAAAGATCCCTGACATGTGTTTGACGCTAACAAGTCAATTTCACTATTGGCACATGTGTAGCATTTCCAATGAAACGAAACGTGCATGAATAGTATGTTGCATAGCATGATCACACCGCACGACTCTAGTAAATGAACGCTGCATGGGAATTGATGGTGTCTGGTGGCTAAAAATAAACTGCTTTGACCTTCAAGGCAGGGAGGCAAGGCATTTGTCGAAATGGTAAATAGCCTGGTATCGTTTTGATCCCCACATTGAGCTAGCATCCCGTTATGCCGTAAAGCAGCCTTCCAAGTCGCCGGACGCTAAAGCATCACGTTTTATTGGGTACCATGAAAGTGTAGTGGTATCATCGGCCACAGTCCCTGCATAATGTCGGGCGCTCTCGGAGACCGGCGAAGCTGCTCAGATATTCCCGGCGTCACACGATGTGTTTGAATCTCATTTCGCAATTTATGAACCTTGCCGTCACATAAATCACAAGGACCGGAATCGGCCATCTGAACCCCTGTGATGTCGTCTGCAAACGTGGCCCTTCAGCCGCCTTTCGCTGTCGCTCGGAAAATTCAGCTGTCTGACCAAAAATCACGTCATCGCAGGTTCTCAACTACTGTCCGAAGGACATGCGGGCGGACATATGCGTCCACCTGAACCGAAAGGTGTTCAACGAGCACCCGGCGTTCCGCCTGGCCTCTGACGGCTGCCTGAGGGCGCTGGCCGTGCACTTCAACATGTCGCACAGCGCTCCGGGCGACATGCTCTTCCACACGGGCGAGAGCATCGACACGCTGTGCTACATCGTCTCCGGGTCGCTGGAAGTCATCCAGGATGACGAGGTGGTGGCCATCTTGGGTGAGTACTCGACGTCGTGCGTGACTTGTGTGCACGCCTTGTGTACATACGATGAATTGTGTTGAGAATAAGTAAAAGAGGCTACTAAAGCTGTTTCACAACTTCTAGGCTGTGACTATTTATTGTATTGATTGATTGATATCTTGCTTTGTGCTCACTTTACCTACAGCCAGCTAAGATGAAATAGATGTCCACGGAAATTTTCTAGAGATGTCTCATATGGAAACTTTTTGGGCTGTTCGCGTCAATAAAGCTCCAGAATAGACCATAAATGTCTATAAGTTCTCTGACTTTCTCACCATCAGTCTGAACCACTGAAAACTCAGCTCCGCCGCGCCGGTGGAACTTTGTAAAGTTTTCTTCGAATTTGATGGAGCAGGGGATGATCGGTGGAAACGCTACCGGATGATGTAGAGGCTCCACGATATTTTGTGGTGGAGTTCCATATTTTGTATGTGGTATGGAGGTTAGCATACTAAGAACCTTAGGCACTGCAGCTTTATGGCACAATTTGTGTCCAAATTGAAAGAATATTGTATACTCCTCAGTGAAATAATCCAAGTAAAAGAAAATGTACCATCTGAAACTTACATTTGAAATATTAGACCCTCTATCATTTGCTGTTCCGAAGTCACCATCCCCAGCCATCGGTCCCGGGAGGGCGGTTCACACTGCGTTCTCTGATACGGCCTCCGAGGGTGATTATCTGGCAACGGGCCGCAGACGAGCCCCCAGCGGCCGGAATGACATGCAACATAAGCCGCGTCAGCATGCGGTTTTCCGGCCATATATCTGCATGACATGAAGGGACGACGCGATCTGTCCATTTGAATGTTTCGCTCCAAACCCAGCCAGCTAATCGGCCAAAGTGCTCTGAACGAGGCATTTTCGAAACCCGACCGGGCGACTAAATGGAATGGAATAAGCCTGTGATTGATTGCACCGGGAACAGTATGCTCTAAATCAGCCTGACTTACACTCGCGCCGGGGACCTGCTGCGACGATAAATATATCCCGGCCGAGTGAAGCGTGATCGTTTGAACAAAACGTCGCTCGGTTCATGGTTGAACGAGCCGTGGGAGCAGCTCAATTTCATCGAGACCAAGGGAAGTGAAATTACGTTTGGATATAAACTAGATATATATAGTCTGCTACGTGGATTCTTCGTCAGATGCATTTCTTGATGCAGCCCGGCTTAAAATTTTGTAACTGGTTTGATATTTAATCCCGACTTTCAACATGAAGCTTCGACAGAAATACCGCATTGCGACGAGTTGAGGTCAGCTATGTAATAGCTAGTAACTATTAAAGACAACAAACCGACGCAATCGCCGCCAAACATTTCGAACTATCGCCACATAACTTTTCTGCTGACAGCATACTCGACAAGATGTTTATTGAGATCGATGTCATGCAACTTGATACTCTACAGAGATCGATGTGTGTCGCTGCAGCGTCACTAACAAAGCTCTGTCGGCGCATTGCTTTCCGATAAGACGGCGGCGCTATCCGGCTGCACACCGGCGCGCCCGGCAGTCAACATCTCTATCGACGGGTGGGCGGCCAGCGTGGAATTCTGCCGGCCCGCTGTTTTTCGCCTTCGTCTCTGTGCAGCGTTCCGGTTCGGTCCACCCACCTATTACTCGCGTGGGTGGCGGCTCTCTATTTTTGCCGTCTCGCTCGGTCCGGCCAGCTCCGGCCGGCTCAGCGCTCAACAATTGGCGACGGCCGGGAGATCTCAGTGCTTTTGCGGAACATCCGCGGCCGTCCGCCGTCCCGAGGCAGTGCCTCCTTTGTAACGCCGCACTCAGCTCCCTGCACACAGAAAAATATTGACACCGTTAGCGGTGTAATTGCACAGTACATATCTGAGCACTTGAGGAAAGTTAATTTAGTCCCTTCCCCGCTTAAATTACTCGCGCTTCCAAATGAACACCAGGAAGAAGGTAATACATAGAACACTGTTAGGAGGGTTGGGTGTTTAACTAGTTACATGTAGCAAAACACCCAACCCTCCTTTTCCTCAAGTGCTCAGATATGTACTGTGCAATGTACGGTGTTAATATTTTTCTGTGTGTGTGGACAAGACGGCGGCCACAGCCGCGGCGCCGGCCCAGCACGGCCTCCGGACACCCTCTCCCCCCCTCTCCCTCACTGACCCGAACTCTGCCCTGCAGCTGGAGCCGCTCGTTCACAGTGACTCGCGGTCGGTCGGTTCTGTTTAGAATGGCAGCTCGCGGCTGTTGTCTCCCGATAAAGCAGTGAGGGCCGCTTTGGCGACTGTAGAGGCCGCGTTTGGGAACGGCTAAGAACCCGCTCGGCGCCAACGAGAGCGTCTGAATTGTGGTCGAGAGTGCTGGAGGAGCACTCCCGGAGTGATGAAGGGGACTCCGGGAGAGGTCGAACGGAATGGAGCCGGCGACAAACGCCGTCGGGCTGGAGGGGATCACTGGAGCGTGGAACAATGTGGATATAGAGCCTGAGAGGATTGTGTACCAGCTGAGCTGTTTTTCTTTGTTCGGTCTGAAGTGGCACTACTTCAGGTAATTCTACCTTTTGATGTTTGGAAGAATGAAAAAATCCTAAGGATGAACAGAAAACAAGCACGTGTGCTTGACACAAGTGTACATATGTGGATATTTGACTGAGGTCTACCAGGACATATATTTGTAGTAGTTTATTAGCCACCTTCACCGCACTGAGAATACCCGGAATGGCCAGTGGCTAGCCTCAGCGGATGAAATTATGCTCTCGGAAAATAAGATCCACCACAGAAAAAAGCTAAGTGCAACTCTTGGAAAAGTATTGTCCTGACTATCAGGTATACATATTCCCAGGCTCGGTCTACATGGATTATATTCATGGTCACTGTTCCAGCCTTTTCTTTGCTGTATTTTCTATTACTATCTATTACAATGCTTAACAGCACTTCCGTCGCTCACTCGCTGACTTTGCCGTTGTGGCAGGACGTCAGAGGCAGACCCGGTGGCTCTGCCGGTGGCCGTTGCCGTCCATTGCCATCCTGACTCCGGATAGCCGCCCGTCCCAGGGCCATCCGAGAGCCATTGCCGAGCCCAGCCGCCGTCAGCGCGACTGCAGACTGTTGCCATTTGCAGAAAATAGCGCCACGAGCACTGCATAATGCAGCGGAGAGTGCAATCGCAACAGATTCCCGGTCGGACGCAGTAGGAATTGATGAAACCAAGCTCGTTGCTTCGTGTCTATTTACGTTTCATTTTCAGGATTTTTTTTTTATACTGTTGGCTGTTTTATATGTTGCCTAAAAAATGTTATAATGCAATGATAAGCTAATGCTGAAAACATTTTTAAGCAGGTATTTAATGGGAAATGGGGAAGCCCTCAACCCATACGCTCTTCATGCTTTTGAAAGTAAAGCACAGGCAACGAATGGTTGCAGGTTTTACATGTTATCGCAACTATCACAAGGGCCTTAAGGGTGTGAGCGCTCACCTGATGACCTCCATCTCCCTCCGGCAGGTCAGGGTGACGTGTTCGGAGACACGTTTTGGAAGGATCCGACCGTTGGCCAGGCGGCGGCCAACGTACGAGCGCTCACCTACTGCGACCTACACACCATCAAACGCGACAAGCTGCTCGAGGTGCTCGACTTTTACCACGCGTTCGCTAACTCGTTCGCACGCAACCTGGTGCTCACCTACAACCTCCGGCATCGGGTATGTGTGCTGATACGACCCCAGCAATGGGTGGGGTTCACTTCTACACTTATAAGCCTCATAAGTCTAATCAAATGTATTGAGCATCGGTATCTGCAGCCGAATTACACTGTGAAGCGCAGGAAAGGCTCCTTCATCCTCGGTCATAACCGCTCAGCCACACCAAAGCATTCCTAAGCTTTCCGCTAATCTGTTCTTTATGCAATGCTCCCTTATAAGCTATTGCTGTATGTTGGCTAAGCCCTGACATTCAGTCAGACACCTCACCAATTCATCGGCGACGAGACGAACAAATAAGCTGAAGTGGTGAAAAGCACCCCAGACCACAGACGTCAGCACAATAAATGACCAGTGAATTAGGTAATGGCTCAGTTCTCTGAAGAAAACAGGATGTCATTTGTACAATTTTCGACATACACGCATTTGACTTGTCTACAGGAAACCCCTGTTTTTATTGAAAGACTAGAGTTTTCTCAAAGAGATGGTGCTACGCGGTGTCCAAAAATACTTGGTGATATGCTGCTAGGCGTGGCATTTAGAAGTGGAACAGATATCATATATGTAGGGCGAGATTATTAGTGGATTAGCTTTCACACGCTTCAAAAACCTGACAAGGTGCAATTTCGCCATTATTCGTCCGAAACAGCCCATTACCTGTTTGTGTATTATTTGGATAAATGGTTTATTTCCAATCGTGTGCGATTCATTCCCCCTATCGCGTCGGTCCCTTTCCTGGGTCTTTCCGCCGAAAACTGCTGAATAGTCAGCGTCTGCGTGTCGCCGTCCTGTCCCATCGGACCTCTCTGCGCCATTCAATTGGATTCCTCTCAACGGTCACGGGGCGAACGACCTGCCGTCCCCAGAGGGAATCCTTCCACACCGGCGCCAATTCCGGCTGAGCGCTGTTAGCTATTCACAGTGCGGTGCTTGCACTCGTCTCCAAAGTAAATACGGCTCGGTTTGGAGAAGCGGCCTCGTGCCCGGGGCCGGCGCCGTCGGCACGGTCAGGCTGACATGTTTGATGTTTGTGGAGGGCGTGCGGCCGCCAGCGGCGGACACCCGGCCGAAATGGGTGCCGTCCGTCCATTCGCCGGTTACGAGTCCGAGGGAGTCGGACGGAGACAGATGCGGCGCGCGTGCCGGAGTTGGAAGCCGAGCTGCCGAAGCTGAGTTTACGGAACGTCCCGCGCTGACTCAGCAGAGACACGTGTCACGGATCGCTGCTCGGCGCCGGCACTTTGTCGAGTTCGGAAACCCAATGAACTGTCAGTTGACTTCAGTTCTAAAGGTGTAAGTGCGGTCGCTGTTTTGGGTTGGAGATGTAGCGAAATTTATTCTGGTCGGTAGACTGGGCTCGGTTGAGCTAACTCAAGGTCTAAGCTATAGAGTTAGTGACACTTGAATTATGAAGCAGACCAAAGTATTCCAGAACTGTAGCGATTTTTGAAGTAACTGGGATTGTCGATGATCTCGTCAACATTCTGTACCTGACGGCAGGTCGATTTATTTTCAACGTGGTCCTTTGTACTGTTGCTAGTTATATCCCATATATGAAAAAGAAATACTTAATCTTGTCAGTCGCTATTGGATTAATAATTATATGACGTCCACTAATGCAAAGAAAGGCTGTGGATAAAAATCATACACGCACCTGTTCGGTATGACAAAGTCGAAAACAAACAAGCGATCCACTCTAAACGGTCCGGCTTCACATCTTTCTTTCGTTTTAGTAAGAGTGTCACATACAACGTCTCTCGACCAATCCTTGAAATACTCACTATGCAGTGCTCGCTGCTGGCAAGAGGTTAACTAAACATCGCAAATTAACTTGTTGAGCTCAATGCTTGGTCACTTGGATTTGTTATTTAAGTCGTCGACATGCTTTTATGGATTCAGCTCACGTTTTATCGGCGAACCGATTGCTGAATAATGACCTGATAATTGGGAGTTAGCTGGTCATCGTTCACAGTAAAGGCCGTTTAGGCGTAATTTGCACTGTGTTATTGCCTATGTCCTGCTTATTTAACGGAGCATTACCTAACCTAATTTAGCAAATCTAGGCGGACCAGGAATTTTATCATGTGACATCAGTTGAACGAATTGCAAGTTTTCCAAAGGTTAGGGCCTGAATGGTCGTGGAGGATGACTTCAAAACCATATTGTCACTCGAAGTGATGAGCCTTTTAGAGAGAAGGAATCAACATATGTTTCGGTTACAACATATTAGTTTATGTATACTGGCTATTGTTTTTTTTTTTTACTATTGTTAATGGAGATCTTCCACCAGACCATGATTGGTTTTTACCTTGGCCAATGCAACAACAGGACCATGCAGGCCTGCCACTTTTTGGTAAGATGTTTCTCAAAGAGAAAATCCTCGGAACATGAGTAAGTGTACCCATGCCACCCACGCTTCTCCACGGGAGTTCCCGCACCATATTCGGTTGATCCTCAAAGGGTCAAAGTAGTTTTCCATTGCGCCGGTGAACCATTCCCGGAGACCGGGCAACAGCTCATTATTGACCCTTTTCATGGCGCTAACCGGCCTTACCAGTAACCAGTGACGTCACAATAACACCCGTTGACGTCACGCGTATGGTGGCTGACGGCCCGGTGACATCTGGCGACGTGCCGGCGCCGCGGTCGTCTCGGTCTGCCCGGCACGTGACAGCGCCGGATTGTCAGGACCGCCGGCCGGGCTAATTTGCCTGCTATGGAGCGCTGAGTGGTAACGCGTGTCGGCAGATCTCGCGGTGGGTGCAGCCTTGGCTGACCGATCAACCCCATCTCCCCGCTCTGGTAACACGGTGTGCTGCCCGCTGACATTTGAGCGGTGCTCTAGAAGCGCCGCCAAAGTTGGGCCTGGATAATGTCAGAAATTTCGCCTGGCGAGCGTATGAAAGCACCGTTTAGGAGGCAGTGCAGCAGCGACCGCGCATTGAACCGGTGTCCTCAGAACGTCCGAGGCCATCCTTTATCGATACGCGTTGATGGCGCCTGAGGCTGGTATGTGGCACACGGTATCGGACAACGACGGCCCTGTAAGTGGCAGGGACAACCTCACAAAGGTCGCCAACCCCAGGCCACCGTCCGTCAGACGCTCCGACGGCAGCGATCGGTTCGCTGGAAATCGGTCACTCGATCGGAATAACCATTACGGGCCGCCTCACTACAGTGCGTGGCTGAAATGAACGCTGCAGCGACCGGCAAGTTTGACGACCGTCCGGCTCATGATCAGTTTCGCGTTGGTGATCGATGGGCCCTCGTTCCAGTAAGACCCCGGTAATGAGTTCCGCGAGCGTGCGCCAGTTAGTTCCGCAGGGAAAGAAAAGGTCACTGTGGACACGACACGACCGACTACAGCACGCGTGAAGGAGCGGCTTTGTAATACCTAGAGATATTGAATACTTCCCTGGGCTGAAGTGTACATACAAACAATAGGTACCGAACTGCAGGCCAATAAATAACTGAACATAATTTAATGCAACGCAGAAGTATCGCTATCTCCCTCTCTCTCCTCCTCTTTCTCTCTCTCTCTCTCTCTCTCTCTCTCTCTCTCTCTCTCTCTCTCTCTCTCTCTCTCTCTCTCTCTCTCTCTCTCTCTCTCTCTCTCTCGCTCTCGCTCTCGCTCTCGCTCTCGCTCTCGCTCTCGCTCTCGCTCTCGCTCTCGCTCTCGCTCTCGCTCTCGCTCTCGCTCTCGCTCTCGCTCTCGCTCTCGCTCTCGCTCTCGCTCTCGCTCTCGCTCTCGCTCTCGCTCTCGCTCTCGCTCTCTCTCTCTCTCTCTCTCTCTCTCTCTCTCTCTCTCTCTCTCTCTCTCTCTCTCTCTCTCTCTCTCTGTTCCCCTCACTCCTCTACCTCGCAAAACTTATTTTAATCAAAAAATTCCACTTAGTATTATTAACCGAAGGTTTGTTGTCAATAGTTAAAACACTATTCTTTAGAATTGTGTTTTTCTATTGAAAAACAAATCTGAGTTCCCTGACAATTTGGCAAAAGCTGCCTGAGATCAGTACCTACAACTTGATGCTCTAGAAAACGGCTGCTCCAAAAATTCTGATTTTTTCAGGATTTCTAGTGGGCCAGGTGATCTACGTTCTGGTATGGGTCTCCCCTCCGCGGACCATCTGGTGCACGTGCCACGTGACTTTGAAAATTTAGGCTCTGTTTCGCAGTGCTACTTGACCCAGTTTGACTCGGCTGCCGCTAGATGGCAGTGGCTCCGTACGCCTGCTATGGTAGACTGTGCCGCACGGCACGTCCAGTGAGGCAGCCCAGAAATGTCACTGAACGTCGGTCACTGCAACTGTTTTGAGGATTTCTTTGACTTACGATGACACCGTGCAAAACACCGTAACACAATACAAAGTACAACGTACCCTGCACACCGTATAGCAGTCTGGTCGATGTTCTGTGATTGGTCAAATGTGAAACGGCGAAATGACTTATGATCATGTGGCTTTCAGCTGATATTCCGCAAGGTATCGGACGTGAAACGGGAAAAGGAGCTGGCGGAACGGAGAAAGAACGAGCCAGCGACTGAGCTCAGTCAGGACCACCTTGTTCGGAAGCTGTTCTCGAGGTTCAAAAAGTCCAGCGACAACCAGATCGCCAATAGGTCAGTACGAATATAAGTTTTGCTATTATTCCTGTACAGGAAGGATTCGAAATGCAGGAAACTTCGTACGACTTCAACGCCTTGTTGACTTCAGATGTTTGGTAGGTAGGTACCCTCAATGACATGGGGCCAACTGCACAAAGCTCAAATTAAACGTGAATAAGTAGTAGGTATGTTTAAATTTGCAACAGCATCTCGGGATTCAAGCCATGTCCTTGTCCATTTTGCGTCAGACGTGGTTTCACCCGCCTTATGCAATTATTAATGACAGATCAGCATCACATACTGTCACGTGCAGGTTACGGTGCCGCCGGACGCCGGCGAGGGTGGTCCAAAACTCATCACACACGCCCACAGACCACCGCACTGCGGGTCATCAGGACTTCCCGTGACAACTCTCCGTTTACCACTTACGTGATTATTTCATCTATCTGATCGACCATGCAATTTAACTGGCCCAATATAGCATTAGAACGACCACATTTACGATAGTTCCCAAGCATCAGCCCACTGTAAACGAATTGCTGAATTCGTAGACAGATCAATACCAAACTACGTAACCTTTTGGAGCTTCACCCAAATGCCACAGGCCGACCCCAAGTCCGGGCTCCGACCTCCTCTCTGACGCTCAATCCTTCCACAGAGATGTGGAGAGTGGTCAGCGAGCTGAGTAGAGGGCGGTGGCGGCGGCGGCGGCGCGGGCGCGGCACCCGTCTCCACCGGCGGCGGCAGTCTCACCACCGTCAAACTGCCCGGCGTCTCAGAGCAGCAGGAGGTCAGCAAACGCGCGCGCAGTCGCTGGGGAGCCCTCGGCGGCAGCGCGGACGGCGACGAGCGGCGCGATAAACCCAAGATCAAGTGGGGCCTGAAGCTAGCCTCCTCTGTGGAGGAGAGGGTGCCACCTCAGCCAGCGCGTGCCGACTCTGAGAAGAAGCAGAGTCCGGGTGCCGCCGAGCCGACTGCCGCGGCTGCCACTACTAGTGTGAGCGCGAGCGAGCTGCGGCAGCTGGCCACCAGTCTGGGCGAGTTTCGAGCGGACCTCACTCGCGAGCTGCAGAAGCTCAGCCAGAGGATTGGTAAACTGGAGACAGCTATGGTGGATGTGTCGCGCCGCGTGCAGGCCAACTCGTCGAGCGAGGGCGCCGCCACAGACGTGTCGAGCGCCGCCGGACTTGTGGTATCCAGTGAGACGGCGCCGAGCTCGCGTGATGCGACTCCGGAGCCGGGAGACGGTGGCGCTGCTAAGCGGACTGACAGTGGCGCTTCCAAGCGGTCTGACGGTGATTCGAAGCGCAGTGAGGGCAGCGCGGCCGAACGACGGCGGCAGCGCGCGCGGCGGCGCTCGGCCACTGCTCAGACGAGCGTGAACGATGACTCGCTGCTGCAGCGAATGCTGGAAGACGAGATCGTCTCTCAGACGGGCGCGTTCGTCGAGGGACGGGCCAGCTCGCCCGAGGAGTACCTGTAGTGTCCGCCAGAGGCGGTGTGGTAGCCGTGGATCAGCGAGCACCGACTTCATTAATTCGCCATTTATCTTTCGGTGGGATTAGACTTGGCGCCGGCCCCGGGGCTATTGTTCAGATCTGAGATTTTATCGACAGTTGGGAGAGTTTGATCTTGGCTACCTGTGACCTGCTTGCCCGTCTCAATCAGGAGGCAGGGCAGACGGTCGAACTCAGCGATATCTGATGATCTGTTGAGGCTGCTTGTTTGTATGAGACAGACGGAACGAGCTTTGAGCAGTGTTTAGGTGGAATGTGCTCTGTGTAGGCTGGTGTTTATCCAATATGGTGACGGTGTTTAGGCCAATCAAGTTTGCGTCGTCGTTATATATCGTTTACGGACTGTACCTAGCTGCTTAGGACGATAGTTACACTATGACTGTTTTTTGTTATTGCATTTTGAGAGTTGTTATGAAACGTGCAATTATGTTGAACCCTACAGCTATCCGATGAAAAGGCTGTCATCGGTGGCAGGCATATCATGTCATTTGCTGAGTATTTTTCTGATAAATGCTCCTTTTCATTTGTCTTTTCATTGAACCAATTATTATGCCAATCTATTTGACATAAGACGTGCGAAGACGCGAGGGCTGGAAGTGAATACGGATCGGTATTTTGTGAGATGTCAGCAATACAGTGGCGTTGGGCCTCAATGCGGAATACCTACTTGTGTAATACCCACTTGTGTAATAAACATGTGCTGCTCAATATCGTCGGCGTTAAATTGCGTTGTGTTCGTGTTTGGTCCGAAATGGCGACAATAAGGAGGATCGTTATTTTTTGAGTGGCGGATGGCGATATCGCAACGACAACGTTACGTGACAACGACCATACAGGTCAACGCTTGGGCCTAAAGGAACCGGTTACCGCCACAGCTAGATAGCTGATGGATCCAGTGCAGATACTCCCAGACCACTCATGGCTCCAGAATGTCGACGAGTCGGCGACGTACATACCTACCTTACCTATATGTGGCACCGCCGCAGGCTCCCAGAAGTCATCCACAAGTAACAGGTGACCAGACTGTGGTCACTTTCAAGGTTAGAAACTTTTAATTTGCTATGTTTCGAAGGCAGCACTATAGTTTTTGGCACTATTGTATCTTGCATAGTTTCCTTATATGCTCTAAACTAGCGTTATTGTCAAATGACGAAAGCGAGCTTTTGGCTATTGAGCCCTTTGGTACGACAATTTGGAGAATAGTTCAGTTGATCCCAAGCAGTGAAATGATAACATCAGGGGAGCCTGGCTTGGGTTCATGCGGCCACCAGCTGGTCAGCTGGTGCGTCGCGGCGAGGCTGGGCTGAGCTCTCAAGCAGACTCCGGCGTAATAGCTATGACACCCAGCCAAGCGTGCTGTCACCTCACTCAGAGCCGCCGGAGCAGCCGGAGTGTCGAGTGGTGTGATCGTGTTAGCTCACGGCTGCGCTTAGGGCGACCGTCACCGGCCATCCCCGGCGGATCCAGACATGGGGGGGGGGGGATTTAGGGAAAACATCGCGCAGTGCTCAAAATCGATGAAAATGTGTTGTTTCCTAGGACAGAGAGACAACTTAGCAACTTTTATCAGGGAAACGTTTGCCCTAGATCACATAACATTGATCAAGGAATTTAAATCCAGGAAGTTTTTGGAACTATAATTTTGTGGAGCCTCGCCCACAGTGCCAGAGACCGACCTTCTGCTGGATACGCCTATGCCGGCCGCCACCGGGTTCCAAACGACCCTTACCAGTTGGCTGATGGGGGATACGCCAGTCCATAACAGAAGCTTCAAGCTGGTGATAAAAAAAAATAAGAAGTGTGGTGTCGCGAGCTGCTCCCCCCCTGCCCCGGGGCCTGGCGACGCCAGTTGCTCCCCCCTGCCCGGGGGCCTGGCGACGCCATTGGCGGCGCCGGCGCGCAGACGCGGGGTTCGAGAGCAGTCGGCCGCCGGCCCGCGCGGAGCGCGGTTGTGGTAGTAGCGATCGGTGTTTGGCGCTCTAGGAAGTTTAACGCAATGCGGCTTTGGTTGTGAATAAAGAGCTCACGTTATAACATCCTGGCGACGAGGATGAGATCAAGGTGAAGCCTTGGAGCTGTGATTGCGAGTGATGGCGAAACGGGCCAGTGATCAGTGCGCGGTGGTCAGCGAGGGCGGACAGGCCACGGACGGTGAGGGCGCAAACGTTGCTTAGTACGAATGCTTAGTGCTTAGTATTGCTTAGTATTTTTATTTTCGCGCTGCTGCTGGTAGTGTGCCTGTCGCGCGGCGGCCGTTGTCCTGGCAGGGTTTCCCATGTGATCGCCGAAATTCGTGGCGGCCATGATGCCTCGGCAGTGTGGTGTGCGTGGCGCATGCGTCGGCGTCCTGCACGCTGATTGGTCGGCCGGGGGTGACGCGCAGCTGTGGTAGCGCGTGTGATTGGCCGATCGGTGCGGCGGAGAGGGCCTCAATGCGGTTTGAGGCGCCTGGTCCCCGAAGCGGGTAATTTCGGCGGGAAGCTGGCGCGCGGCCGGGCGGTGTGGGGCGAGTGCGCATGCGCGCGCGGTGACGTGCGTGTGACGTCACTACCACGTGACGCCCCCGTCGAGAAAAGCGCGGGAAACCGCAGCTGCAGCGCCAAGTACAGGCGCAGGGGGCGCGGTGAGCGGTGACCGGTCGGCGTGAGCGGTGGCCGACCGGCGTGTGCGGTGACCGGCCGGTGTGAGCGGTGACCGGCCGGTGTGAGCGGTGACGCCCGGCTGCGGGCCGACCGGTGGAGCGGCTGCGGGCCGCCGGTGGAGCGGCTGCGGGCCGACGGTGGAGCGGCCGCGGGCCGACGGTGGAGCGGCTGCGGGCCGACGGTGGAGCGGCGGCGAGCCGACCGGAGAAACGACGTGCTGGTGAGAGGGCGGCGGCACGATGGATCCAACGGGGATGCAGATAGTGTCTGCGGTGCCGTACCGTCCAGGCACGGACTTTGAAAAGTGGCTCCGGGCATTGGAGCGGTATATGATCGCTGTTGACATTCAAGGGCCTGCGAGACGGTGTGCAGTCCTGTTGCACCTGGTGGGCCCGGACCTCGCCGATGTCAGCGATTCACTGCCTGAGGAGGACGCCGAGAGACAGGGAGAAGACGAGTTTGCTCGCCTGAAAAGGAAGCTAACACGGTATCTGGTGCCGAAGAATAATGTGGTGGCGGAAAGAGGAAAGTTTCAAGGGATGAAAATGGAGCAGGAAGAGAGTCTGGAGGAGTTCCTGGGCAGACTACGGACGCAAATCCTGCGCTGCGGCTACGAGCCGGCGCAGGTGGACCGTGAGTTGAGAGACCGATGCGTCCTGGGCAGCCGAGGTGAGCTACAGAGGAAGCTGGTCCGGGAGGCGGCGCTAAAGGGTGACGACCTCTCTCTGGAGGACGTCCGGCGGACGGCACGGGCGCACAGGGACGTGATGGATCTGACGACGCGGCTGTCTGGGGCGCCGGCGCCGGCCGAGACGGACGGGGAGGCAGTTCACCTGGTGCGACGCCCGCAGCGGACGGAGAGGGTCAGGCCGACCGAGCCCCCGGGGCCAGGCACGTGCTTCCGCTGTGGCGGCCGGGGCCACTGGCGGCGCCACTGTCCCAGCGCGCAGTCGCGGCAGGCCGGCGCGCGGCCCCGGCAGGACGGTGCGCAGCCGCGGCAGGACAGCGGGCAGCCACGGCAGGACAGCGGGCAGCCGCGGCAGGCCGGCGCGCGGCCATGGCGGGCCGGCGCGCCGCGCTGCTATCGGTGCGGAGAGCGTGGGCATCTGCAGCGTGACTGCGGCAAACAGCGAACTGGCGTGAAGCTGGTTCAGGACGGCGACCAGGCTGACTGGCAAGTCAGCGCCGTGCAGCCAGCCGCAGCTGAGTGGGCGACGGTCAGGGTGAACGGCCAGGAGTTCACCATGCTGATCGACACTGGCTCACCGGTGACTATAATCAGCGCGGAGACTCACATCCCCGGTCTGACGCTGCGGCCGAGTGAGCTGCACCTCACGTCATTCACCGGCCAGCAAATCCGTCTGCGAGGCGAGGCCGACGTCAACGTGGAGACGGACGGCCGAGCGACACGGCTGCGACTCGTCGTGTCCGACATGGGCTCTCACCGACCTCTCATGGGACGAGAGTGGATCAAGGCGCTGAGGACGGCGTCGGGTCTGGAGACGCTGAACGTGTGCCCGGTGGCGACTCAGCCGACGCTGAAGGAGGTGATGGACAAACACCGTGAGGTGTTCAAAGAAGAACTGGGCAGAATCCCGGTGAAGGTGGCGCTCAGACTGAAGGAAGGCGCCAAACCGGTCTATCGACGCGCCAGACCGGTGCCGTTTGCGCTACAGCAAGATATCGAGCGGGAGCTCGACAAGTGGCTGGATCAAGGGATCGCCGAGAAGGTGCCTCCTGGACACTTCTCCGGATGGGGTACGCCGCTCGTACCCATCCCCAAGAAGGACGGCGTGCGGCTGTGCGCGGACTATCGGATCACGGTGAACCCGCAGCTGCAGCCTCTGAAGTATCCGATGCGCACGCCGGAGGAGCTATTCGCCAGCATACGAGGGAAAAAGTTCTGCAAGCTGGACTGCAGGAACGCCTATCTCCAGTGTGAGCTGGACGAAGAGAGCCGAGAGATGACCACCGTGACCACACACCGTGGTGCGATGCGGATGAACCGTCTCCCGTACGGGATCAGCACCTGTGGAGCGCAGTTCCAGGCGATCATGGACCAGGTGCTGGATGGTCTTCCAGGAGTCGTCTGTTACCTGGACGACGTGCTGATCGGCGCCGACAGTGACCGTGAGCTGATGGACAGGCTGGACCGGGTGCTGGAGCGGCTGAAGGACAACGGCGTCCGCCTCAAGAAAGAGAAGTGCCAGTTCGGAGTCCGAGAAGTGGTGTATCTCGGTTGGCGACTGTCTGAGGCGGGTCTGCGCCCGGTGCAAGAGAAGACGGCGGCCGTCACAGCAGCACCTGACCCTCGGAACGTGCAGGAGCTGCGATCTCTGATCGGGTCAGTCAGCTATTATCAGCGGCTGCTGCCCAACCTGTCTACCGTGCTAGCGCCGCTCTACGCGCTACTGAAGACGGGCGTCAAATGGGCATGGACGGCGGAGTGCGCCGCGGCAGTGCGCCGTGTGAAGGACATGCTGTCCACGGCGCCGGTCCTGATGCGGTACGACCCCGTGCTGCCGCTGCGGCTCGTCACGGACGCCAGTGCGACAGGAGTCGGAGCGGCTCTGATGCAAGTGACGCCCGAGGGGCTCGAGAGGCCGGTACAGTACGCCTCCCGAACGCTCACTCCGACGGAGAGGAAGTACGCCCAAGTGGAGAGGGAAGCCGCAGCCGTCTCGTTCGGAGTGCGGCGGTTCCACCAGTTCCTGTTTGGTCGGCCGTTCACCCTGGTGGTCGACAACAGGACGCTCTCCAGGATCCTAAACCCGGACCGTGAGCTGCCATCTCTGGCGGCGGCTCGCATGCAAAGGTATGCGCTGCAGCTCGCGGCGTATCAGTACAAGATCGAGCTGCGCCGGACGGAGGACATGAGGCTGGCGGACACGATGTCCCGTCTGTCGGTGCCGGACGAGGCGGAGAACCGGCTGTCGGCAGAAGAGGAGGCGGCGTACGGCGGAGGCGGCGTAATGTTCATCGCCGAGCAGGGGCCGTGTCTGACCGCGCAGCAGATAGCAGTGGCCACGCGCCGAGACCCGGCGCTCGCCCGCGCTCTGGCGGCGGTGCGATCGGGCTGGCCGGCGGTGGTGGACCCGGACCTGGCTCCCTTCAAGAATCGCCGAGAGGAGCTGACGACTGAGGCCGACTGTCTGCTCTGGGGCGGCCGAGTCGTCATCCCGAGCAGCCTGCGCGACACCGTCAAGCGGGAGCTGCATGAGGGTCACTTCGGCTGCACTCGCATGAAGCAGCTGGCGAGGCGCTTTGTGTGGTGGCCGGGACTCGATGCTGAGCTGGAGGCGCTGGCTCGCGGGTGTCAGGCGTGCGTCTCAAAGCGAGCTGAGCCGCCGCAGGCGACACGGCACCCGTGGGAGCCGACGGACGGCCCGTGGCAGCGGGTGCATGCCGATTTTGCCGGACCTCTGAAGGGCACCTGGTTCCTGGTGATGGTGGATAGTTTCTCCAAGTGGGCTGAAATGATCCCAATGAAGACGACCACGTCCGAGCGGACCGTAGCGGTGATGAGGACGGTTTTTGCTCGTCTCGGACTACCACTGGTGCTGGTAACGGACAATGGCCCACAGTTCACGAGCCAGGAATTCGCCCAGTTCGCCAGCTCTAACGGGATCCGACATGTCAGAGTGGCGCCCCATCACCCATCGTCTAATGGGATGGCGGAGCGAGCGGTCGGCTCGCTAAAAAACTCACTGAAGGCGACTCTGGCAGCAGACGACAGCGGAGGCATGGAACTGGCGCTCGCCCGAGTTCTGATGGCGTACAGAGTGACTGTGCCCACCTCTGCCGTGCCAAAACTCTGTCAACGCACTCTTGCCTGCTGTGGAGTGTGCGCCCCGCGCGCAGTAAAACCGGCAGCTCTGGTGCGGCGGAGGCGTTCTCCCCTACCCTCCCCGTCGGGACCCATCCGCGACAGTCCCGGCGTGATTTGGTGTGCCGTCGCGTGAGAAGTGTATTTGTGTTGTTACTTGTTATCGATTGTTGTGTTTATTATTACGTCGCGTACCACGGGGCTGTGATGCTTGTGTGCCTTGTATCGCGTTGGCGGGCGCTCCGCCGGCCGCTGCCCGCGCTCGCTGTAGCGCCGGCCAATCAGAGGGCCGGGCCGGGCGGCTAGCCCCAGGCGCCGGCCGAACTGACCTGGGGTCGGGACTCGGAGCGGCAGTCAGTCGGCTCTCGATCTCTGCGCGGTACGTGCCCGTCCGGACACGTACGGGCACTCTCTGAGCTCGGGCGTCGCTCCGGCGATTTGAGGCCGTCCCAATAATCTAATACTGGTGGTTCGCCCTTGTGGACGACCATTTTGATGCCAGTATTCCCCCTAAATCTAATACGTTTGCATCTCTACGGAGTATGGTTTCGGCCGTTCGGTCGAACCTACTCGTAAAGTTTCCTTAGCAATTTCCCATAGTTATCCTCTCTTAATCTGGCTTAGCTCCAGTTTAACTCCGGATATAGCGCCGTTTCACCTCAGGGTTAACACACGACATACAATCGCGCACATCAGCGGGATGAGCTCATGTTCGACGGCTCAATGCGTCTGACTCGTTCTTGGATTCGTGTTTGTCTTTGCTGGCAAGTGTCTAACCAGCTCATGTCTTGTTCTTGATTTGTCTTGATTTTCGGCACGCATGAGTAAGACTTGTGCGGAGGTTTCTCCGACAAGGTTTCGACAATACATTTAAGACGTGCCAAGTACAGCTTTGACCTGGCGGTCGCGGTGATCAGTCGGCTAGTCCATTCTCTCAAATGATACAGTCCACTTAAAGCTCTCCACACCCACTTCGACTGCACGTCCCCCGCCACAGTAGGGTGCCAACGCGGGCCACTCTCTGTGGACAGCGGCAGGGCCGCTCCAAGTTTCGACGTGCAGGGCGACCTTTCAACATCAACACGGGGTAGCGGCCGCGACATAGTCCTCCGGGGGCCGGATCACTGGGAGCATTTCCACCAGGTTTGCTTATAGTGATCAATCACCAGCATATATAGGAAGAGATGGGCAAGCCAGACACCAACACAGACATTGAGTCGCTGAAAGCGAAACGCACCAAAGACCGAAGCAAAGCTACAAAATTGTCGAATGATCTAAAGCGCCTCTACACTCAGGTAGACCAAGGCAATCAGAATGCAGACAGACATGAGTTGGACTACACGATAGAACTCGCTGAAGGCCATCTTTCGCAGATGGACGAGCTGAACTCGCAGCTGAGTGAGCTGGGGTTAGAGGATGAATCCCCTCACTACGCGGAGCTTCACAGAGCAGTCGGCCTGGGTAAGCGTCTTCTCGCAGACGCAAGTAAGAGGAACGAGACTGCACCTGTTGTGACACAGGTCGTAACTCCTCAGAACCATTTCAAACTGAATTTCACGCTTCCAAAGTTCAATGGAGACCTCATGGCCTGGCAAGAGTTTTGGGAACTGTACGAAGCGTCAGTACACCAAAACAGTGCCTACTCCCCAGTGCAGAAGCTATACTACCTGAGACAGCATCTCGATGGAGCTGCAGCGCGGTCAATTCAGGGCTTGCAGTTGACAGCAGACAGCTATGAGATCGCTGTTCAAACACTGAAGGAGAGGTTCGGAAAGGACAGCCTGAGGAAGGACACCATCATCGCCAAGCTGCTCAGCCTGCCGACGGTGGCAAGCACCGACAATCTGAAGTCACTGAGACGTCTGGTGGATGATGTGACGACCGGAGTCGCTTCTTTGAAGACACTCAAAGCCGAACACACTGGTGATGTTCTTCTGCCCGTCCTGAAAGGGAAGATCCCACCGCCCTGGCGTCTTCAGTGGGCGAGGCAGCGGGGACAGACCATGGGCCAAGAACAAGGAGAGTTCGCAGAATTTCTCGCATTTCTACAGAAAGAAGTGGGGTATCTCGAAGAGGCCGCTCAAGTACCATGCAGCAAGGCTACTGATGACAGCTGTCCAACGGTACAGAAAGCGACAACAAGTGTGCTGAACACCCAGCGAGTTCAGGCAACGCCAGCTCAAAAACCGTGCCCTGTGTGTAAGGGATCCCATCGCCTCGACAAGTGTTCACGGTACCTGGAGATGACCGTCGAGGACCGCTGGACGACGGTGAAGAGGGTAAGGGCCTGCTTCCGCTGTCTCGGACGTCACTTCATCAAAGACTGTAGGAGTGGCAATTGCAAGCACTGTCAGGGTTCCCACCATACCTCTCTGCATCGTCACCAAGCCCCAGCGCCAGAGCCTGCCAGCTCTGTTCCCTACAGTCCTGCTGTACCACCTCCCGCGCCGGTACCTCCAACAGTTAGCACGCATCCATCAGTCTCTCAAAATCAACGGCCAGAACCTTCCACTTCCAGCCACGGCCAGCACTCCCATCCCAGCATGCGCTACGCAGCTCAGCGTACTACATCACAGTGTTACATTCAGACTGCGCTGGTGGTGGGGAGAGGGCCACGCGGACCCAAGATACTGAGAGCCCTGCTGGATGGTGGGTCCGACGCTTCTTATATCAGGAAGACGGTCGCCGAAGAGATGAGCCTGGACGTCATCGGCTCCGACACATTCGCTTGCGTCGGCTTCCAGGAGAGAGCAGAGGAGCCACGGTCATACGATCGCGTCGCGGTCGACCTACAAAACCGACACGGAGGTGAAGCGAGGAGATTCGAACTGTGGTGTTGTGACCGCCTGTGCGCACCTCTACCACCGGCAGAGCAGCCCGAGGGACTAGATGAGAACATCGAGCTGGCCGACGACTTCAGCGGTGGCCAGGTGGACATCCTGATAGGGACAGACCAGTACTACAAGGTCGTACTGCGGGATTGCGTCGTTCTAGATGAATCCCTGAGAGCACTGGATACGATCTTTGGCTACGTGATCCATGGAAAGGGCACTGCAACAGGACAGTCCACTCGACATGTATACCACTGTCAACAAGTGGAACAAATGTGGGACCTCGAATCCATGGGTAAAACTCCGGACCCTGAGGCTCAAAAACTCCAACGAGAACCCGAGGGAAACTCGCAGGAAGAGCGCTACGGACCAGGACTAGAAGCTGAGATCCCTGGATCCGTCCATCTTGGTGAAGACGTGGTCTTCCAAGTCTTCTGCGAGGAAGCCAGCAGGACCTGCTGTGCCGTCGTGCACGCTGCCCACGGTAGGGAGCCTCAGCTGGTGGCGGCAGAAGCCAGACTGCCCCCTCTGACAGTGGCCAGCAGTCAAAATCAGAGAATCGAGGAACCAGAAGATCCGGCAAAGGAGCTGAAGAAAACCAGCCCCTTCCAGGCCCAGAGTCAAGTACTCGACGTGCTCACAAAGGATGAAACGAGACCGTCACGGAGCTGTGCGAGTGCGGGGCTCCCATCGACTCGCACAACTCACACCAGAGGGCCATTCCTTCCGACGGACTGTTCCCATCGGAAACAAGCGATCAACATAACATCATGGGTGCTGCGGCTCATCCATAGCCTGCGCTTTCGAAAGGAGCAGCGAGCTAACGGACCACCCAGACCCAAGAAGCAGCGCAACGCTCTGTATTGGTGCATCAAACTGGCTCAGCGGAGTGCGGAGGTTCTCCGACTCCCTAGTCCCAGTCTTCGTCCGAGTGTGGAGCTTCTTCGACTTCTAAGTCACAGTTCCATCTGAGTGCGGAGGTTCTCCGACTCCAGCAAGCAATCCTACTATCCTGAGATTCGCAAGTAACTACTGTATTGTTGTGTCTTTCTCAGTCATCCATCATTCAAGTATCATGCTTTCGTTCAACGTTTCCTGTGGCAAACGCATCACAACTTACGTCATTTCCCGACGTCCCGTCAACTTGCATTTTCCTGATTTGCCCAATGCCCAGTATCTTTTCATTAGCGAAAAGTCACTCATCGTCGCCACTTTGCCCATTTTCCTCAAACCATCGAACGTTCCCAGATGTGTTACATTGTGCGTTTATTTACTCATGTTTGTATCATTAGCAGGCCAACATGGATGTGACTATGCTCAACGATGACGAGGCCGGAGACTGGCTGGCGGACCGGGCGGGACCGGACACAGTACATGTCCGCGACACCCGATCTCCGCATGCTGCAGCCCGTTGCTCCGGACTGTCTCCCCGGGCGCCACTCGACCGGATCCTGACCCGTGCGCGCGTCGGCGCGGCGTGGACCAGCCTGGACTTGGAGCCGGGAGACACTCGACGGCTAGCGTGTCGTCATGGTGACATGTGACGGATACATGTGTTCAAGAAGAGAAAAAAAAACCTTCGTTTTTTGGTGGGGAGTATGTGGAGTGTGCGCCCCGCGCGCAGTAAAACCGGCAGCTCTGGTGCGGCGGAGGCGTTCTCCCCTACCCTCCCCGTCGGGACCCATCCGCGACAGTCCCGGCGTGATTTGGTGTGCCGTCGCGTGAGAAGTGTATTTGTGTTGTTACTTGTTATCGATTGTTGTGTTTATTATTACGTCGCGTACCACGGGGCTGTGATGCTTGTGTGCCTTGTATCGCGTTGGCGGGCGCTCCGCCGGCCGCTGCCCGCGCTCGCTGTAGCGCCGGCCAATCAGAGGGCCGGGCCGGGCGGCTAGCCCCAGGCGCCGGCCGAACTGACCTGGGGTCGGGACTCGGAGCGGCAGTCAGTCGGCTCTCGATCTCTGCGCGGTACGTGCCCGTCCGGACACGTACGGGCACTCTCTGAGCTCGGGCGTCGCTCCGGCGATTTGAGGCCGTCCCAATAATCTAATACTGGTGGTTCGCCCTTGTGGACGACCATTTTGATGCCAGTATTCCCCCTAAATCTAATACGTTTGCATCTCTACGGAGTATGGTTTCGGCCGTTCGGTCGAACCTACTCGTAAAGTTTCCTTAGCAATTTCCCATAGTTATCCTCTCTTAATCTGGCTTAGCTCCAGTTTAACTCCGGATATAGCGCCGTTTCACCTCAGGGTTAACACACGACATACAATCGCGCACATCAGCGGGATGAGCTCATGTTCGACGGCTCAATGCGTCTGACTCGTTCTTGGATTCGTGTTTGTCTTTGCTGGCAAGTGTCTAACCAGCTCATGTCTTGTTCTTGATTTGTCTTGATTTTCGGCACGCATGAGTAAGACTTGTGCGGAGGTTTCTCCGACAAGGTTTCGACAATACATTTAAGACGTGCCAAGTACAGCTTTGACCTGGCGGTCGCGGTGATCAGTCGGCTAGTCCATTCTCTCAAATGATACAGTCCACTTAAAGCTCTCCACACCCACTTCGACTGCACGTCCCCCGCCACAGTAGGGTGCCAACGCGGGCCACTCTCTGTGGACAGCGGCAGGGCCGCTCCAAGTTTCGACGTGCAGGGCGACCTTTCAACATCAACACGGGGTAGCGGCCACGACACCTGCACAACTAAATAAAAGAAACAAAAAGGTACATAGGAAAGACATGGTATTGTGGAACATGATAGCAAGCCAGAGCATATGTGTGCAGAAAGAGTCCAAAGAGTGGTTTTCTGCAAAAGAACAACCAATAATCACACATACAACATAACCAAGGATCAAATGCGGACATTGATGCGGACAGTTCACACATTGTATGAAATGCGGATACAAATGCACATCTGCCAGAATGAATGCAAATAAATTCAATCAGCAGAAATGACAAGGTACAACTGGCATTTGTTCTGTTACAAATAAAGATAGTAATTACTGACCAGATGTGTTTTGGCGCAGCGGTGAGACAAGTGGCCAGTCGGCTCACACTCGACTGGCTCCCGTCTGGTGCCTCAGCTGGATCACGCTCAGCTGGTGACACACAACAGTACAACCTATCACACCTGCCACTGCCCAAATGCACGAGAAAATGTACCAGTTTTTACAATATGCTAGATCTAAGGCTCAAATACAAAGTAAATAATATAAATTAGCAATATCAGCCCCAATGGCACGTGGAACTCGCGCCACTATTGCCGCAACGAACATAATGTCTACGATATATCAGTTTTCTAGCCACAGTTTATCAGTTTAATATGCACGGCCAACTGCTCATCATTGTCAGTGGCACAATTATCAAAAATACTGACCTTTCACCTTCCATTTCACACAAATAGATCAGTGCCGGCTCATTCTCGGCAACTCCCTCGTGGCAAAATGTCGCTGATACAATCACCGCATCGGGGTTCGCCGCAAACGCCTATTTTTGTGAGATACTCGTCCGATCGCCGCAACTAAATCAAAACAAGTCACAACATCCTCCCCCCAGTTTTCGGAGGAAAACTCCCTGAACTTCCTGAGGCACGTATCACTGGAGACCAGTATCTATCATCCACCGTACGAACTGTACGAACAGCGCAGCAAACCCGCGTACCGATGGCAGTAACTATCGCTTAGAACGCCTCACAATCACGGCGCAACCAAAATATCACCTTCACAGCCGAGCACGTTGTCTTTATGTCACCTCGGACCACACTCAGTGTCCGGAGCGGGCCGAACAACGCGGACCGCGCACAACACGAATCACTATCAGGGCTGCCAGACGCCGCTCAGCACGGCGCGGGCCGCTCCAAATAACGGCCGGACCAGGAGCAGTCGCTCGCGGCGCACCGCTCCGAGGCCGCATGCCTCAGGCGCGCGCCGCCCGCCGCTCTCGCTGCTGGCTAGCCGCGCTCGTGTGTCGCGACCACCGGCGAGTCAGTCCCCGCCAGCGCGCTGAGTCCGCCGCGACCAGCAGCGGCGGGCCTCTCGCCGCCGGCATCTTGCGTCCACGCGCTGGAATCGCTGCACTGCCAGCGACGTGTCGTCATCAGAGCGCCGCTGTACTCCCAGCGGCGTGTCGTCATCAGAGCGCTGCTGTCCCCACCGGCGTGTCGTCCCTCGGAACGCCGCTGTACCCCCAGCGGCGTGTCGTCGTCCATCCTCGGGGTGCCACCGCCGCTCGTCGATGGCTGCGACGTTAGGACACTAGGACAACCAGAGGAGAGACGATCATAGGGTTAAGAATAGGAAAAAACGGACAAAATAAATCAACACAAATAAATGAAATAAAAACATGGCGAGTACATTAACAGAATAAACATCATTCTCCAGCAAAGCGTTCATCTGCTGGACATCGGCGACTGCCGTTCTCTTCTTGGCCTTCAGCTCAGAGGCGCCTCTCCCTCCAGGAGACATATCTTGGTACATGGGCGCTTGTATGATCCTGAGGCAGTACGCACCAGCGCCTTCCGTGTTCCGCCTTCACATGACACCAGCTGCTTCTGTGATGCGTCTCGATCATCTTCCGGTATGCTCTCCAGAAGTTCGGGGTGACTCGATCTCCACTTCGTTAGTCGGAATCCTCCGCGAGACATCAGCGCTGTCACTTTCTCCATCGTTGCCAGAGCTGCTTCCGGGGTTTCCTCCGCTCGGAGAAAGTCGTCGACGTAGAAGTTGGCGAGCAGCGTCGGATGACCTCCCTGTCTCTCTGCTTCTTTGTCCTCAACGAGCGTTCGACGCAGGATGTAGTTGGCGATGCACGGACTACACTTCGCGCCGAAGATCACCACTAACATCTGGTAGATGTCCGGTGGCCTTGACGTCTGCATCTCACGCCAAAGAAACGACAGAGCTGGCTGGTCCGTCGCCCGCACTTGAATCTGGTGGAACATCTGGAAGACGTCTGCCACCAGTGCGTACCGCTCCTGCCTGAAACGCAAGAGGACCCCATGCAGGTTCTGTAAGAGGTCAGGACCTTTCAACAGCTCGCTGTTCAGGGAGGTACCCTGAAACTGGGCGGCCGCGTCAAACACGACGCGCGGCTTCACCTTCTCTGGGTGTGTCACGGCGTGGTGAGGCAGAATCCAACGTTTTTTCTTCTTCACTCGACTCTCTTCAGCTGTCAGCTTCCGCGCGTACCCTTGTTGGACGTAGCCCTCAAGCACTTCTCTGTACGCTTGCGCTCTCTCTGGGTTCTTCGCCAGGTTGCGCTCCAGAGACCTGAGCCTGCTGTGCGCCATCGTGTAGTTGTCCGGGAGCTCGGCCTCTTCGTCTCGCCATAGCAGACCAACTTCATACTTGTCTCCTCGGTGTTGAGTAGTCTTCTCCAGGATGTCCATCGCCCTCTTCTCATCGGGTGTCAGCGCGGGCTCGGTGGCACGTGTCCCGAAGGATTCTGTAGTCCACCAGTCCGACAGGTCATGCTGTTCTTGACCACGAAGCGTGGACACAAACATAGCCTCCCGAACATGCTCAGGCACTACACCAGTCAGTGAACCAGTCAAGGACCACCCAAAAGCCGTTCGGATGGCCACAGGCTCTCCTGGTGCACCGACACGCGCCTCGCGCTGGAGTACCGCTTCGAGCACGTTGGCTCCCAGTAGCACCTCGACCGTGCCACTGGAGATGTCTGGAATCTTCAGTCCTTCCAGGTGCTTGAACTTCGACACGTTCTTGCCTCGGATCGTGGGAGTTCTTACGTTGACCCTGTCCACGGAGAAGATCTCTGGCACTAAAATCCTCTTCGACGGATCTTCAGTGCTTGCCAGTGGTGACAGTTCAAGAGTCGTCCGCCTGGACAGCCTCTCACGGCCCGCAGCTTCTACGTTGCTCAGTCGAACCGGCTGAACCTCGCCTTCAACTTGAAGCTCGTCTAGGACAGACGCATTGCAGAGCGACGTCTGTGCCCCAGGGTCGAGAAGCGCCAGTGTGTCCTTGTACTGTCCAGCGGGACCATGGACACGTACAGGTACGACCTGCAACAGAACATGACACGCATCTTGTTCCTCCCGTCGGACCGACGCTATGGTGATCTCGCCGGTCGTCGTCTCCGTTCCTGAGGGGGGCGGCGAACCAGGCTGCAGCCTCCTGATCCTCCTGCTCCCATGCAGATACCGGCTGTGTCGAAGCACGCAACCATCGATGCCGCAGGCTCGAGCTGTTCTGCAATCTCTGCTCCGATGGCCCGGCCGCAGGCAGCTGAAACACAGTCGGTGCTCAGCCACAACTCGCGCACGCTCATCAGCAGTCAGTGCCTTGAACTGCTCGCAAGCCCACAGCCCATGACTTTCACCACAGAGGACACATCTCTTCTCACCTGAGGTGCTTGCCGTCTTCGTGGTGAGGAACATCCCAGCCGTCCTCTTCTGCTGACTGGGTGCAGGCGCAGCTGCCTCACAGCTCAGCTGGATGCGCAGCTGCAGACGGAGCCACTGGTCGAACTCCAGCAGGGTAGGTCGCACCATTCCCAGGGAGTGTTCAGCCCACGCTTTCCGCATATCAACTGGCAGTTTGCTCAGGAGACGACGCAGGTTCTCACAAGACTGCAGGTCACCCTCATATCCCAGTCTCTTCAATGTAGTTGTAGCACCATGAACTGCTCCATAATATCTCTCCAGAGATCTGGCATCGAACGGCTTGGGAGCTGGACACGAAAACACAGTCTTGAGGGTCATCTGAACTACATCAATGTCTCTGCCATACCTTTCTTTGAGTGCTTGGAGAGCATCTTCAAAGGAGCTTCCATCACACACCATCCCTCCGATGATGGCTCTTGCTGCTCCAGTGACTGCATTCTGCAGATGTGCCATCTTCTCATTGGCACTCAGATTCTGCTGCTCCACCAGTGTTGAGAAGATCGAGTACCATCTTGGAAACTCCTCCACTGCTCCGCTGAAAGTGGGAAGCCTGAGACGAGGCAGGCTCTGTCGGAACAGTTGGCTGGCAGAATCAAGGTTGGGATTAGGTACAGGAAGGTCTGTTCTGTGTTCTTCATCTCTCTTCTGGTTTCCTTCTGGACGTCTCTCATTCTCTTCATTGAAGTCTTCTTTCCTGTCCCATGTCAGCTCACTTTCAGCTGCCTTGGTTAACTCTGTCTTAAGACGAGCAGCCTGCAGGGCATCTTGTTTCTCTTGCAGTTGTCTTGCTCGCTGCATCTTCTGTTCTTCCTCCTCTCTCTCGAGGCGACGTTGCAGCTGCTGTAACTCCAGCTCACGTACCTTATCCTCAACTTCTGCCATTCTGGTGGTATGCTGCACCCGAGCCTTTGAAGCAGCAGATGACCTGTCAGTTGTTGCTGATGGAGTTTCTCCCGCTCGTTCTTGCAGGTGACTTGCCACTCGTTCCTGGGCAATCCTGTGCTCCTCAGTGGCCTCTTGCTCGTATTCATCACACTTCTTCTGGTGATCATCATCTTCAGAGCTCATCTTGTATTCCATGTTCTTCTCCAGAACATCTTGTAGAGCATTGTCCAGCTCCTTCAACACTGCATGCAGCTCTCTTTTGCTACCACGAGTGTCGATCAGTACAAACGCTCTTCTTCTTGTTCGTGTCAGCGCACCCTTCTTCATGGCACGTTCGTTCTTGAGAGCAGACATGTTTCTTACTTGAGTAGTGTACAACTCAACTTGACGTCATCAGACCAAACAACTTCAGAGAACTTCTGACAACTTGTCGAAACACATCTGAAAACTGTGCCCACCTCTGCCGTGCCAAAACTCTGTCAACGCACTCTTGCCTGCACAACTAAATAAAAGAAACAAAAAGGTACATAGGAAAGACATGGTATTGTGGAACATGATAGCAAGCCAGAGCATATGTGTGCAGAAAGAGTCCAAAGAGTGGTTTTCTGCAAAAGAACAACCAATAATCACACATACAACATAACCAAGGATCAAATGCGGACATTGATGCGGACAGTTCACACATTGTATGAAATGCGGATACAAATGCACATCTGCCAGAATGAATGCAAATAAATTCAATCAGCAGAAATGACAAGGTACAACTGGCATTTGTTCTGTTACAAATAAAGATAGTAATTACTGACCAGATGTGTTTTGGCGCAGCGGTGAGACAAGTGGCCAGTCGGCTCACACTCGACTGGCTCCCGTCTGGTGCCTCAGCTGGATCACGCTCAGCTGGTGACACACAACAGTACAACCTATCACACCTGCCACTGCCCAAATGCACGAGAAAATGTACCAGTTTTTACAATATGCTAGATCTAAGGCTCAAATACAAAGTAAATAATATAAATTAGCAATATCAGCCCCAATGGCACGTGGAACTCGCGCCACTATTGCCGCAACGAACATAATGTCTACGATATATCAGTTTTCTAGCCACAGTTTATCAGTTTAATATGCACGGCCAACTGCTCATCATTGTCAGTGGCACAATTATCAAAAATACTGACCTTTCACCTTCCATTTCACACAAATAGATCAGTGCCGGCTCATTCTCGGCAACTCCCTCGTGGCAAAATGTCGCTGATACAATCACCGCATCGGGGTTCGCCGCAAACGCCTATTTTTGTGAGATACTCGTCCGATCGCCGCAACTAAATCAAAACAAGTCACAACAGTGACGCCCCACGCCGCGACCGCACGGACTCCCGCTGAGATGCTGTTCGGGCGGAACCTCCGCACTCGTATGAACCTCATGGTTCCGAGCGCCGAGACAGCTCTGCAGGCGGCTCGGGACCGGCAGCGTGAGACGGCCGGCGGACGGAGCAGGGAATTCGCCGTGGGAGCTACAGTGTGGGCCCGCTCGTATGACGGTCGTCAGAAGTGGGTCCGCGGCACGGTGGTCGCCCGCCCCGGTCCCGTGTCGTATGAAGTGGACGTGGGACACGTGATCTGGTCGCGCCACGTTGACCAGCTGTTGGCGGCGGCGGCGGACCCAGGGAACAGCGCCGGCGGTGACGTCAGAGCGGCCACCGGCGGTAGTGTCCGAGCGGCGACCAGTGGTGACGTCAGAGCGACGACCGGCGGTGACGTCAGAGCGACGACCGGCGGTGACGTCAGAGCGACGACCGGCGGTGACGTCAGAGCGACGACCGGCGGTGACGTCAGAGCGACGACCGGCGGTGACCGGGCTGGTGGCGCCGGCGGCAGCGCCGGGCGCCCTGTCGGAGACGATCGCGCCAATGGCCTCGGTGACGGCAGCCGCGCCGGCGTCGCCGGTCAGGCCTGTGACCGGGGAGCAGTCGGCCTCGGCCGTGCCGGTGATCTCGGCGGCGGCGGGGATGCCGGTGACCCCGGTGGCTACGGCCGTGCTGGTGACCCCGGCGGCGGCGGTAGTGCCGGTGACCTCAGCGGCGGCGGTGATGCCGTCAGCAGCGGCGGTAGTGCCGGTGACCTCGGCGGCGGCGGTGATACCGGTGACCTCAGCGGCTACAGTCACACCGGCGGTGGCGGTGACGGCGGCGGCAGGGGCGGCGGGGACACTGAGGGCCCCTCGCAACGCCGTTCCGCTCGGCGCCGGAGGTGCCCGAGGCGACTGATCGCCGAGGTTTAAAATGTGTTTGACGCCGGAGGTGCCCGAGGCGACTGATCGCCGAGGTTTAAAATGTGTTTGTTTCCACGTTCCGACGCGTAATGTGTTTGTTTCCACGTTCCGACGCGTAATGTGTTTGTTTCCACGTTCCGGTTTAAAATGTGTTCCGTTTTAAGGGCGGCAGGTTAAAGTGAATGTGTTCCGTTTTAAGGGCGGCAGGGTGTGGTGTCGCGAGCTGCTCCCCCCCTGCCCCGGGGCCTGGCGACGCCAGTTGCTCCCCCCTGCCCGGGGGCCTGGCGACGCCATTGGCGGCGCCGGCGCGCAGACGCGGGGTTCGAGAGCAGTCGGCCGCCGGCCCGCGCGGAGCGCGGTTGTGGTAGTAGCGATCGGTGTTTGGCGCTCTAGGAAGTTTAACGCAATGCGGCTTTGGTTGTGAATAAAGAGCTCACGTTATAACAAGAAGGATTGAGGATGTTTAGACCTGGGAAATGGCCAGGGCCTCGGCTAAGGAATTTTGACTGGTGGGCCACTTGGGCAGCGACATGGACTGATCTTCGTAGCCATAGCCCCCCCTTTTCGATTTCTCCCCAGATTTCGGCCACTTTATTCTGCAAAAAACGTCAGGATGGCATGGAAAAAATGTAAAAAAAACGGGGCTCGACCCCCCCCCCCCCGACTCTTCACAGAGAGGAGAGAGTAGGGACCCACAACCCTCTCAGTGGTGATACTCCGGCAGTGCACATAAAATCGCACAAGTATGCACAAAATATTGACGCAGATTATAAAACTTTGGACGGTAACTTATGGCCGGTCGGATGTGAACCCTGAATGGATCGCTCGCCGACTAGTCGGAGATTTGGAAGCGGTCGGACGGGATCGGGCGTTGTCGGGTGGATCGGGAGGAATTGTGAACAGCACGAGTGCAACTTTATATATAAAGTGGGTTGTAGCAGCAACCCCAACATCTCTGAAAATGATCATTAAGCCTATTGGTGTCGCATGGAAAAGAATTGACTCAAAAGCCCAAGCGCACTGCGCAACCCGTCCCTAATATTTTTTTTATAAAAAAAAAACTAAGTTATGTTCACTTCTGGTGAACAGTGTCCCAAACTTCAGATTTCTCTTGGGTGTCTGACTGGAAAATTCTAGCTACCCAAAATGTGAGAGTGGAAAATTATCCATTCTTATTCCTGGAGAAATTTTTGGAACGCTGACTGTGAACGGTTCGAAATTCGTCCGACTGGTCAGATGTGTGACCGGTATGTGTGATATCATACCGGTCGTGAAAACGCATAATATCGCTTGCAGACTTCAATCGGCTGGAAGTCGCCGACACTACCTCTAGTTTAACTCTGGCTTATATCGTGTCTATCGGCGAGCCGTCTGAGATCGCTCGCAGGCTTATCCCCGACCGTCTGAACTGGTCTGTTCTTTATTCGTAGTTTTTCTTGTAACCGACTGGTCTGCGGCAGATGCTTATGTGACTGCAACCACTCGATCGATCGGAAAGCTTGCAAGAACTCTGGCAGACCTCGATCGGCTGAAAGCCGCCGACACTATCTGTAATTGACAGAGGCATACGTCTTTCACGATTATTGCATAAAATTTAAAGCCTCGGTCACACGTCACCGGATTGGACCAACGGACGAGAAACGGACGAGAACTGTCAGCGTCCGGTGATGTCCGTTTGTTTCCGTTGGACGTCCGTTTGTCATCCGTTAATATCCGTTCCATGTCCGGTGGTGTCCGGTTGAGCACACCGGACACCACCGGACATGGAACGGATATTAACGGATGAGAAACGGACGTCCAACGGAAACGAACGGACATCCCCCGGACATCACCGGACGCCGTCCGTTTCTCGTCCATTGGTCCAATCCGGTGAAGTGTGACCGAGGCTTAACCTATACGGCTGTCTCAAGAAACCGGGAATGGTGATGGTATTAGGCGGACAACGACGATCAAGTTCTTACTTTTAATAAATGCAACAATGTAGTAGGACTTCTGTCTCTGTCTGTATCAAAAGGCTACCTACGTCGTGATGTAAAATGTGAAAACTTAGATTTTTCGGAAAATTACTGGTGGGCCAAATCTTTGAGGCTGGTGGGCCATTTCGCGTCACTGGTGGGCCATTTGGCCCACCAGTTAACATGTTAGCCGAGGCCCTGGAAATGGCGAATGATATGAAATATCAATTACAGTGTATTTGCATATGCCGAAAATTGTTTATAAAGGTATTTCTTCAACATGGCAGCACTCTTACCTGAGCTACCAGATCACCTACATGTGCCGAGTTCGCCACGTTTGTTGTCGTAAAGTGTGGAAAGGTCATTCACGTTGGTTTTGGTTTGGATTTTGCTGAATTTTGCATTGAATCTGGCTCCCCGAAAAGTTTTTCCTGCCTCAATTAGATATTTATGTTCTGTGATGCACATGCTCCCGGAAAAGGTCTTACTTCTATGACCGATGTTTTGATTTAGCCGAATTCAACTTGAACGCTTCTTGCCATTTGTTAAACTCTGAAGGTAATAAAAATATGTTTTTGGAAGTTAAATATATAATCTACCTTTCATGTTTAGTCTGAAATGTAATGCCATTTATTATGATGTGTGATCCATGTGCCTGTTTCAAGTTGGTCCCAAATTCTATGATCTTATTTTACACAGAAAAATATATTTCAGTCACTGGGCAGTGGCACCATATGATTTAAAAATTCAGGTAAAATAAATATACATTATGATTTTGTATAAATATTCACAAATTTATTTAAAAGTTCATACGTAAGGATGGTGGCAATTTCACAGATCAAGATGCATGTCTTGAGGGCCGAGGTCTGAGAATGAGTAACTTCTTTCAAAATAAATATTTCACTTTTGACAATGTTTTGAACTGGAATAGCAGTTTTGTAGCTTGAGCTGAGACTAGCACAAGTCAGGAGCTTTTACGGCTCAACGATCACCCTAGATGAGACGCAGATTTCCATTTCTCATTCCGAAGAGTGCCTAGCTGAGGAATGCGTGCCTTGCTGAGGAATGCAGCCATGTCATCAGCCAATCAGCATGCTACTTACAGCCAATGGAGATTGCAGCAAGTAGCATGCTGATTGCAGCATGTGTAGGTTTGAATAATGCAATATGATCGGTCAATGTGTAATAAGCGACAGGCAGACTTTGAAGGACAGCCAACATTTGAAGATATTGGGCCTTGGGATTTCATCACCCATTAGCTGCCAAAGGTTACAGATTTAAGTGGCCCTACCTAAGGAGTAAAGAACTTGCTCAGATTTTTGTTTCCTTTATCCTAGTCCTAATGCAAGAGCAACGCAACACTTAAAGGGACCCTCCCACCTTAACATTAGATTTGAGTTGAGATAGCCAAAATGGGGTCCCTGGCTCACAATTACAGGTTTCGGCACTCACAACATCGAGAAATGCCTTAAATCGGAAATATTGAATTTCAAAATTGCAGCGTTTTGATTCAGAGGGGCTAATGCATAGGAATACCCCTCTGAATGTGTGACGTCAGCACAGATATCTAACGATTTTTAAATGTTTGACTAAAACGTTTTGTAGCACGCGGTGGTATATGCTGCTTTGCGCGCAACAAATGCCGCACTTTCAAATAAAGTCGCTGGGAACAACGGAGATCCCAAAAAGTAAACAAAAGTAAAAGTCTAATATCTTGAAAACCGGTGAATATTTTTCGATGAAATTTGGTAGATATATGTTTTAGCTCTTTCTGAACCGAGCGACATCACTTTCATGCCAATTCATCAACTTTTTTGAAGGTGGGAGGGTCCCTTTAATGACATTTATCAATCTTTTTTTTTGTTATAAGAAAGAAATCAATTGAAAATTTAGTGGGCCAGTTATTGTTTATATCCCTGCCCCTGGTAATAACTGATTTCAGTTCAGGTCCTGAAGAGCTTTTGAGATTGGGCACTGCTAGAATCACATGCTGGATTTTGTGGAGATGTCTGATGGCATTTTAAATAGTTTTTGCTTACTGCCATGTGTCAATATTCATGGCTCCCTAATTTTGTATGTCCTTAGGTTGCCTTGTAAACATTACATAGATGTCTGCTTTAGTGCTCTATTCTGACTATGATACTTTAATTTCCAGGTAGAATCATGAGTGATGAGGATGGTTACAACGACATTGACAGTGGGGTAAGTTTACAAACTACAAAGTACAAATTAAGCTTGATATTATGGTAGAATGAAATTGTGATCGATATCAAAACCATATAAAATCCTCAAAGGCATGCTATAACATACATCTTAATGCCAATTTATCCACTGTAAGCACTTCAGCATGTCGTTGCCTGACACTGAGGCTTCATGCTGTTTTCCTATAGGACGATGGGGATGACGACCTGGACCTGGAGAGTGGCTATGGAGACGGTTCTTCGGGCTCCAAAAACCAGCTTCAGGTGAGTGCGTTGTGGTGAAACTGATCCAAAGCCTGTCGGGGGTGGGACGATATTCAGTAGCTGATGAGAGTCACAACCTTGTGTGATTAATTATTGTTATGAGGTTGACCTGGTGAGAGATAGTTCATTGCACATATGCATCCCCCCCCCCCCCAGCTGTTGCGAGTGACTTGAGTGAGCGTCATCTGAGCGACCGTCACCTGAAAGCTCAATGTTGATGACCAAGGGCTGGGTCTTGTAACGACGCAAACGCTGATCGTTTTTGTCGCCAAGCTATAGCTCAATTAGGGCCAAAACGGCGATAGGATTGAATTTGCTTCCCCTTTCCCTCGGTAGGTATTTAGAAAACCGATAGGCCCGGCGAGGTAACGAAGGAAGATTGTGTGGGGAGTTGCGATTGCATTCTAGGAAATGATAAGATAGGTAGCCTTATCTTGGACCAAGGCTGTTCTCGGAATGCTGATATATAGCACGGCAATCTCAATCAGTCGTCATCAGCATCAGCACCCTGTATGCTTGAGGATAAATCGACGAATTATCGAAACGGGGCCTCAATATTGATGGAATGGTAGGGATGACATAATTTGTCTTACACCGACAACTTTTCGATGTGAATTCTGAACAGCTGACGAACACAGTAGCATGTGGTAATCGCTTGCAATAGAACCAATCAAGTCATCGGAGAATGCTACGTACATCGTGACATTTTTTCGAGGTTAAATCGTTTTAGCACACATTTACTCATTCGTATCATGTAAAAACAAACATAGACTGTTCAATGTATAACAATTCGCCCCTTCTGCAGTTTGGCTCTCAGGCGGAGAAGCGAGCACACCACAACGCCTTGGAGAGGAAGCGACGGGACCATATAAAAGACAGCTTCTGCGGTCTAAGGGACACGGTGCCTTCTCTGCAGGGAGAAAAGGTAGGCTGAGGTGTCGAGTTGCAGCTCAGAATCGGCCACGAGCGTAATATGCGGTGCGCTAGTGTCGACTTACTCGGTTGGGGCACTGTATTGATCGGGACGAGATGTGCCTTGCGTCGGTAAGATAATCGCTCTGTTACGTCGATATTCGTTGTCAATAACGCTCATCATTGTGACTTATACGAGCCTTTGGTTTTAGGATAAACCAAAACTGACGATCAAGTCCACGTACGATTCAAAACATTAAAATAAATGTTCTAAGACGATGTACATTAGAAAATGCTGACCACGTGTTCTCTCCCTCCCCGTTTTCTGCAGTCGAGTCGGGCTCAGATACTTAAGAAGGCTTCCGACTACATTCAGTTTATGCGCCGCAAGAATTCTGCTCATCTTCAGGACATTGACGACCTGAGGCAGCAGAACAGCCAGCTCGAGGAGCAAAGTAAGTCGAGTTTTAGTATTTGGTCTGCCACTATGCCGATCGCCAGTGATAGGCGTGTGTGAAATGGCCACTGCACTAATGCAATTGCGTTTCTAGTTGCTTCTTGTTGCTGACACTTCGGAAGAAAGTCCAGACTCTCGGATACCTAGTTTCGTCTTTGGATACAGAAACGTGTGCAGTCATCAGATAAATAATTTCTGTTGATAATCTAACCGCGATGTGTCAGAGCCGGGTAGGGTAGACAACCGTGCTTGATACGTGGACGTTGTGATACGAGGCTCGATGCATCATTATCTAAATGGCTGATAGCGATGAAAGATTTACTGACTCATCAACTGATATACGCCTACCATTTCACCACGTGCATACCCACGCCTCCCCGCTGCCCCGTTGCGATGCGTGCTGACCGCTGTCCGTTTCAGTCCGGGCGCTGGACCGTGCCCGCGAGGAGGGCACCCTCCCGGCCAGTCTGCAGCGTCCCTCCTACATGACCGGCGCGTACGAGGCGGCCGACTCCGACTCCGAGGAGGAGGCGGCCGGTCCGGCGGCCGGCGCCGCCCGACCGCCCGCACCGCGCGCCAAACGCATCCGCCGCTCGTAGCGAGGCGGCGCCGTGTGTGCGTGTGGTTATGTGTTCTCTGCGCGCGTTCAGCTGTGATGGCGGCCGCCGCCCTCTTCCGCTACGGAATTCCACTCGCAATACCCATCGAGACGGCAAGACCAATCCACTGTGAGACTCCCGGCGTGTGTAGTCAGGTTTGGTTTTAGTACAAAAAGACTCTGGAATTTCAGACCAGTGTGCTCGCGCGCACGGAATAGCCCGTCACGTGTTCCAGTCGCAGCCGCGTCAAGCTGAACGGTTGCGAGAGAGAAGTCCTGCGTGTCTCGCGCGCGTGCGCATACCCTTTTACCGCTTGTTAGCACCCCTAGCCGCTTGCTCTCTGTCACGCACGCGCGCGCGCTCGGTGCACGTGCTGTCCTGTGTTGTACTGGTGGTCGTCCCGCGGTGTGGAGGTCGTCCGGACGATGGCGGGACGAGAGAACGGATCTCCCGTCCCCCATCGCCCTCTCAATAGACGGACGAGGGAAACGAAATGCCGTATTTCTGAGGTGTAGTTCCCGCGGGTGGGGTCGCTGGGCGCTGTGCTCATGAAAAGCGAACGAAGCGCAGTCCGCAAGTGAGGGAAGGGTGCAGAGCGTGGCGTCCGACTTCGGTAATATGTCTGGCAGCTAGAGACCCGCAATCTACCGCAAACCAAGTATAATCTTATGCTTGAACATGGCGATGGGTACAAAGCCGATATATTCTTTTTGTTCATACGTTCGGCTGCTGAAAATATCGAAGTTCAGAATTGAATGGTCTCGTGACATAATTGCATAATGCATAGGTAATGAACTCGTCACCCACACCCACATGATCCGACTCTAGTTTTCGACTGAACAAACGCTGATCACAAAAAATGCGCGATTCATGTTCGATGCCCCATGATCGAACAATTATCGGGCCTGTGAACTGGTTTCAGAACAGTGCTTACTTCTCTGCGCAGTCTGTTGTAATTCGTGCTGCCACCATCCATCGGTTCAGACATGGACCTCTGTATACAGAGGTCTATGATTCAGACCGTTCGGAGCTTTTCAGAATCGGCGAGGATAAGTGCACTATTTTGGCAGCGGCCTCCTAAATTGTCTTTAACTGTTTTTGTAGCAACTCAACTAGGCGTTACACAAAGGTACACTTATTCGCATATGATGAAAGAAACAAATTATCGTCAATGTCCAAACAGCACGTTTATTCAGACTTTCTAGCATCGCATAACAGCTAGTCAAGTGTCAACAAACTTACAACCAAAACCCAAATGCAATTCTAGTCGCCAAGAGTTCGTGGCGACCAGCGTGGTGCTTGGCAAACGTGACATTATCCGCCCACGCCCGTAATCCAAACAGGCATCCAAGACCCGTCCAATGTTGGTACTTGGTACTGAACAAGGCATCATTTGCACGTGCATGGATGCCAAGCCTGAATCGAATTCATGAACACAGTGCAACTAAAACCTAACCGTAACAGTGCGTGAATCGCTAGCATGAATATGAAGAATGAACGTTGTTTTCTACACACTGGAATACACCATGAATGTGTGTCACCCATAGCATCGCAGTGTGTCCCTAGTCAGCGGCCTGCGCTTATGGTGAGCGGCAGCGCCCTCTTTGTACTCTGGCTCGGCAGCCTTCACTCCACTGTGCGCCGTGGCGCCCCTGTCGCGTCACGACCAGCAATGGCGCGCCGCCGGCCGTCCGCGGCCCCTGCGCTGGGCCGGTGACGCCCCTCGGCCATTGGTATACAGCGAGGGGACCATCCCCATCCCATCATCCGGCTCGGACATGTCGCTACTGGACGGTGAGTGTTCGCGGTGGGCCCAGCCGGGCGAATGCTGCTGCACGGGCGCACCCCAGTCGTCCACTACCGACTCCGGCAGGCCTGTGTTCCAGCGGGAGCGCTTCGTCAGCGGCGGCGGATCAGTGGCCAGCCCCGGCGGTCGCCGCTTACCGCCGCGCGCCACCGTCTGGTCAGCGGCCACCCGATCACCGTCAGCTGGCAACGACGGCCGCCACTTTACGCCGCGTTCACCCGGGGCGTGCGGCTGGCCGCGGCCGCGCCCTCGCCCCCTGCCGCGGCCGCGTCCTCTCCCGCGGGGTCGCTTGCCGGTCTCCTCTGCGGTCTGAGGCGCCGCGGCGTCACTTGGGGCGGTCTCCGTCTCGGCCGACGGCGGCGACGGCGCATCTTTCTTCGCCGCCTTTGCCACTTCAGAATCATCCGTATCGGAGCCGTTGTCTTTCGTCGTGAGAGTGAAGCTCAGCTTCTTGTGTCGCGCCAGCTCGTTGTAGCGGCGCGTCACCTCTGGGAGACGGTTGAACGAGGCCACGGCGCGAACAGAGAACATGGACGGCAGCGGGATCTTCATCTTCTCGCGGATGTAGTCGAAGGTGCGCCGCCGGCACACCCAGCGGAGATCGATGGAGCGCAGGTAGTCCTCCTCGGCCCAGGGTACGGGCGGACAGCCGGGCCGCAGGCGAGCCTTCTGTGCCGGTGTGAACACCGCGTTCAGCGAGTCCATCCAGCGCACCTCGGACTCGACGTGTGACCGGTTCACGTCCACCATCTCGCAGCGCATGGTCGTCTCGCGGAAGGCGAGATGCAGCACGCGGCTGCGCAGCGCCAGCACCTCCAGCCTCAGCCGGCTGATGACGCGCAGCGCCAGCGGCAGGTTCGTCGGCAGCGTCTTCATGTCGTCGCCGGGCGGCAGGTCGGCCTCCAGCATCTCGGCTCCGCTGCGCAGCACCATCAGTGAGCCAGCCGGCGGCACGGTGGCCGGGTGGGCCGCCGCCATCGGCCGCGGCGGCGGCGACTTGGTCCTCCGGCGGTCGGCGCGCACGTCCAGACCGCGGCGCCGGTCCAGCTCCTGTAACACCTCGTCGTAGCGCCGCGTGGCCTCCTGCAGCCGCAGCCGGCGCGAGTTCAGACGCCGCTCCAGCTCGGCGATCTTGCGCTGCATGCGGACCATGGCGACCAGCTGACGCTCCAGGCTGTCGGCGTCCGCCAGCATGTCGTCGTCGTCCGTCACGTAGTCGTCAGAGACGGGTGGCGACTCGTAGCGGTATTTGCGCTGCCGGGTCGGCCAGTACGTCTTCTTGAGCAGGGCGGCCGAGTCCGACCTGCGGATCTCCTCTGCTAGCGGGCGCGTGTGGCGGCCCGACTCCTTCAGCTGGTCCAGGGCTTTCCTGATGTGTCGGTGACGCGCCTCACGCTCCTGGGTGTCGGCAATGGCCTGCTGCACCAGCTGCGCGCGCTTCTCCGGGTCCAGCGGCTTCTTGAACGAGCTCCTGACCTGGTCAGTGCTGCCCTCATCTCCGTTGTCATCTTCACTGCCTTCAGCATCATTATACTCAGTACTGGGGGAGGGAAAGTGAACACAATGTAACTATTGTCATTGAGACCATAATATGTCCCAAATGGGCACAACAGCCAACATACAAAAAAGTTATGACCCTTTAATTGTGTAATGTACCTAAATGACCTTTCCCAAATCTGTGAATACATAGCATACCATTCACACAGTGTATTTATTATTATTAGGTTGGTTTACAAATAATTAGTCACCTTTGCAAAGGGAGTACAGCTGTTAAGAAAACATGTGCAATGCTCAAGTTAACAGGTAAGGGGTGAAACATTGGCCATCAATCATAGATGCCATTTGGCTTTTGCTCATAGGAATAAGGGCAATACACTAACTGAACTGAAATACATTTTCTGGGGCTCTTAAGCTTGAAATTAACACTGCAAGGCATAATGTGCCCAGGCATAATGTGGTGGATCCAGAAAGGTGGATGAGTGAATGCAACTTGTGAGCTACTTTAGGATATACCATTGTATATCCGAGTATAACAAAACTCGGAAAAAAAAATGTGCCCAGTGCCACCTACACAGAACAGCTGGAGTTATTGGATAAGGGACTCATCCAATAAAGGGATAAAGCACTTTGCTCAACTTGCTCAATATTTTCAATTTAGTACATTTGTTTTATCATGTGTACAACTACACTTATCCATCTCAGATTCTGCACATTATCAGATGAGATCACATGTGGGCATACTGCATAGACATATGTTCTTCATGGCAGGTCATTATTTAAAAAAAAAATCAGACATTCAACAATCTTGCAGTTACAGCCAGGTCAACAAGCTGTTTGTCATTGATTCCAGAATGAAAATAGATTTAGGATCATAAATCTAGCTCTCTTGGCAGCTTACATTTTGAGTTGATTTTTTTTTCTAGCATACAATGTATAGGTATCTTTCTTAATGTTAACTACTTTAGGATATACCATTGTCATATTTACCCACCTGAATATTGAAGGACCTTTGCTTTTGTCACCATATTTAAAGTGGCAGCTGCAGAGACGAGCATTTGGACCTGGAATCCGACCATCAGGTCTGCAAAAGAACACACATTGGATAAGAAGGTACCCACACATTGCTAAAACTTACTTTACTAATAATTTATTTCACTATTAATTAATGATTTAAACTTTTTAAACTGAGAATATCAATCATCAACAGTCAGAATGAAATTTAAATGAAATTAACTTTGAACCACCCAGCCTCACGTAGCCGTACAAAGGAAAAATATACCTGCACCTTAAATTTAATTCTGATGAACTTCAGCCTTCAGGTATATGCTGACAGTATACTATCTGAAGACTAAGTGAAATGATATCAGACTTGAGTGTACTAATATATTCAGCATCAAAATGAAAAAAAACAGTCAAATTGATTTGATTAGGTAGGTACTCACCTGCACAATGCTATCCAGTTCTTCCTCGACTCAGCATCCTTTGGAAACCTGAAGAATTTGCATCCTTGACATCTATCTTTTACAACTTTATGTCGGCAACCTACCGCAAAACAGTACCTCATTACGATTTGCTTTAGATTTACTTACTCCAAGCCGCCTTTCGCGCACCAATCCCAATCAAACTATAAAAAAACATTTACGAAATATCGCCGTGCGTCGATTATAAAGGATCGTGTATTTTTGTTCAAAAATTTTCAAAGCAAACAACGCAAACGAGCCGGCGAACACTGGCCAATCAGCGCTCGCAAAACCACGACGCTGATTGGTTTGTGGTGCGCCTGCGTTATTCGTTGCCTCGTCTCGATGATGTAATAACCACGTGTGTCGCCGGCCGACACGGGAGTCCCCGGGCCGGCGCAGACCGATTCGCGCGCCGACTTGTTGTGACGTTGCTACCCCCCCCCCCCCCCGGTGCTGGGGGCGGCCCAGGGCGCGCCAGTGAACATTGTACCCTTTCACGAGGCGACCGCGTGTCTGCAGCCTGCATTGCAGCAGTCTGCTGACCAATCCGCGCTCGATCCGTCGCCGCGTGGTCTCCGAGTGTTTCTGCGCATGTCTGGGGCCCAGCCCGCTGCGTCGGGCCGCGCGCTCCGCTCCCCCGACATTCTAGGCCGAGCTCTTGACCCGAGCAGACGCGTTACGTCTGGCTCCATTAGGCCCGTTCTGTCCGGGATTTATAACTTAGATTAGGCAGGGCATATTTGGCAAACTTGGATTTCATTCTCGTCTCTTCGTCGCTCCATTGTCTGATCCGCTGTTTTGGTTTTTGACTTCGTTTTGGTAATTTAAATATAACAACCCGCTCCTTAAATTAATTCTTTTACTTGGGGCCGTTTGGATCGAACTGATTGAATTTTTGGAACACGCACCAGGTTGATATTCTCCATTTCTGATTAACGTAAAATTCCAGTCACTAATATGTGGTGAACAGCCCCACAGCACCACATATTGGTGACCCCGACGTGATTCTTGTTCGATTTTTTCCATACTTCCGGGTTGTCGCCTCCGCTCATTCCCGAATCAATTATTTTATATTATTCCCCCACATGGATTGCTATTCCGTCGCTCCACAGTGGATTCTGCGCCACTTTTCCATGATGGTTTCTGTGCCATCCCTCCGCCGTGTGATTAGTTAGGCATTTATCTTCTCGGTGATTTTATTTCGGCGTTCCATTGGCTCTTTTAGATTTTGCACTCGGTGTTTTAAATTTTAATTGTTCAGTGCATTGCAAACACCGGCTATACTTTAACGATCATGACGAACGACGGCACGATGGAGCCCGCTCATGCTGAGCCAGTCCATCATGTGTCGATCAAGCCGCCGGTTTTTATGGACACCGCAGTTGACGGCTGGTTTGCTATTATGGACGCCCAATTTAACATTGCCAAAATCACCAACTCGCAGACCAAATTCTACCACGTTCTCTCTGCCCTGCCTCCGGAAACCATCTCGCACATTCCGCGTGCTGTCTTGAGCAACAAAAATTTCTCTGAGCTACAGACAGCCGTCACTGACATGTACGAAAAGACAAAGCCAGAGATGTTTGAGAAACTGATCAGCAAAACGCGTCTGACGGGCCGCCCCTCACTCTTTCTAAGCGAGCTCAGAGAGGTGGCCGACAAGGTTGGTGTCGGAGACGATCTCGTTCGGCACAAATTTATCCAGTCGCTACCTACAGGCATTGCAACGGCCCTGGCTTCTCAGCGCGAGCTCTCACTGTCGCAGTTGGGCAAACTCGCGGACGAACTGATGCCTCTTGTGCAAAACTCAGCTGCTAACATGGTTCACTGTCAGGATCAGGACCCACAGTCTGACTCACAGGCGTTCCTTGTGGCTCAGCAGCACCCAAGGTACCACAGGGCCACTCAGCCGCAGAGCCGAGCCGCCACACACTCCCCTGCTCGTGATGCTCGTGATTCAAGGGCGTCTCTCGGTCTCACGCCGTTCCACCCTGACCAGAAGCCGAAAGTATGCCGTGCTCACCTGTTTTTCGGCAGCCGAGCACGCACTTGCAAGCCATGGTGTCACTGGCCCGACAAAGCTGCTGATCTGACCATGCAGCCGTCCTCACGAGCTGCATCTCCCTCCCATGCAGCCTCAGAGTCGGGAAACGAGAGGAGCAGGCCGTAAACGCAGCCCTCGGCCTGCCGCTCCTTAGGGTAACAGCCAAGGTGAATGATCAGCCCCTGAAATTCATCGTGGATACTGGCGCTGGTGTATCCCTGGTTCCGCCCTCCTATGTGAACGGAACTATAATCCACCCGTCCGCTGTTTCGATCACGACTGCCAGCGGGCAGCCACTGCGCGTGCATGGCGAGGCCACTCTCGATATTGTCCTCCCCACACTCAGACGCAGTTACACATGGACATTTGTAGTGGCTGAAGTGACAGAGCCACTACTCGGTAACGATTTTCTCGCTCACAACTCGTTGGTTGTCGATTGTGGTTCCCAAGTTCTCCGCGACTCCACCACTCTGCTCTCTGCTCCCGGTGTACCGACGACCGGGGAGTCTGTTCATTTGGTGATAAATGATCTCGCTCAGGTGCCTGAGGCAGTGCGGCCCATCCTAGAGGATCACCCCGCTGTTCTCAGCCCTAACCAGCCGGATTACAGAGACTCGCCAATCAAAACCACTCACTTCATCGACACCGGCAGCGCTCCACCCACGTTCGCCAGCCCACGCAAGCTGCCGCCCGACAAACTAACCGCAGCAAAGCAAGCACTCGATGTGCTGCTCAAAACAGGAGTGATTCGTCCGTCTAGGTCCCCGTGGGCCTCACCCATCCACATGGTTCCGAAGAGTACCCCTGGTGAGTGGCGTGTCACCGGTGATTACCGCGCGCTCAACGCCGTAACCAAACCGGACCGCTACCCACTGCCGCACATTCAGAGCCTCTCAACCAAGCTCCACAACGCTCAGTGGTTCAGCAAAATCGATCTGCTCCGTGCATATCACCAGGTGCCTATGAACCCCGCTGACTCAGAGAAGACGGCCGTCACCACGCCCTTCGGCTTGTACGAATACGCCTTCATACCAATGGGGCTTCGCAACGCAGGTGCCACATTCCAGAGGGTCATGGACGGCATCTTCCGAGACGTGCCGTGCGTGTTCGTCTATCTCGACGATATCCTGGTATTTTCCGAGAACCAGGAGCAGCATGAGAAAGATTTGCGCCTCGTGTTCAGCAAGCTGGCTGAGCACAAGCTTCGCATCTCACTGGAGAAATGCGAGTTCATGAAGAAGTCACTCATTTTCCTCGGTCATGACGTCACCAGCACAGGTGTCACACCTCCCAAGGCCAGAGTGAAGGAGATTCTGGACCTCCCCCTACCGCATGACTCAGAGTCACTGCGTCGCTATCTGGGACTCATCGGCTTCTACCGGCGTATGATTCCGCGATTCGCCGATGTCACGTTCCACCTGACAGAACTGATTCGACTCAACCCAAAAAGCAAAGAACTGACGTGGACAGAGGAACAGACTCAGGCGTTCAGTGACAGTAAAGCAGCGCTGGCTGGCGCCTGCACTCTGCCACACCCAGTGCCACACTGCGAGCAGTACGAGCTCGTTACTGACGCATCACAAGTCGCGGTGGGTGCCGCGCTCCATCAGATTGTGGACGGAGTACCCGTTCCCATTGGCTTCTTTTCACGGAAGCTCAGTCAGGCCCAACAGAAGTACGCCGCGTATGACAGAGAGCTACTCGCGGCTTATCTGGCCACACTCCACTTTCGTGACATGATCGAAGGCCGCCACGTTATCCTGCGAACAGATCACAAGCCACTCGTGCGCGCTTTTCACAGCCCGCACACGGCTAAGTCTGACCGCCAACAGCGCCACTGGTGTGTCGTCACGGAATACATCACGGAGGTCTCGTACATTCGTGGCAGTGACAACGTGGTGGCGGACTGCCTCAGTCGCCCGGTAAATGCAGTGTCCCTCGATGCATGTGACCTCCATTTTATCGCGGCGGCTCAGAAGCAGGAAAAGGAGAGAGACGCCGGCAGTGCCGATTCAGAGCACCAGGATTCCGAGTCAGGTCCAGGATCGCGCTCAAACCCGCAGGACACCTCCCGATTGGAGCCAGTAACACTTTCTGGCGATATCACAGTCCTGTGTGAAAACTCTGGACCACATCCACGCCCGTACGTACCAGAGGCATGCAGGCGCGCCGTGTTTGATCGTTTCCACGGCCTGTCGCACCCGGGTAGGAAAGGCACCACCCGCCTCATCAGCTCTCGCTATTTCTGGCATGATATGCGCCGTGACATTGCGCGATGGGTGAAGGAGTGTGAAGCATGCCAGGAAGCCAAGGTGCACAGGCACACTCGTTCTCCGCCCGGTCGGTTTGACGTGCCCTCACAGCGGTTCGAAACTGTACATATAGACATAGTCGGGCCGCTGCCACCGTCAGTACCCCACGGGCACCCCTTCACCGCGCCATTTCGTTATTTGTTGACATGCATCGATCGCGCCACGCGTTGGGTCGAGGCCGTGCCGTTGGTCTCGATCACCGCGGAAAGTGTGGCCTCTGCTTTCCTCGACACTTGGGTGTCCCGGTTCGGAGTGCCACTGCATGTAGTCACGGACCGCGGTTCCCAATTCGAATCAGAACTGTTTTCACACTTGTCTTCAATGATAGGTTTCCATCGCCTCCGAACCACTGCTTATCATCCGACATGTAATGGGATGGTGGAAAGAGTCCACCGAACGCTCAAAGCCGCCATCCGGGCGCGCAGGCAAGAGTGGCTGCGCGCGCTACCAGTAGTTTTGCTAGGTATAAGAGCTATGCCAGCAGAGTCGGGTTTTTCGGCATTCACTGCCGTCACAGGCGCGCAGGTGCTGTTTCCCCGCTGCGCCGTCGAGAAGGTCCCCGTCGGGACAAAGTACGTCCAAGAACTGGCAAAGCGTATGTCAGAAATCGATTTTGTCACACTCTCACAGGGCTCGAACCATGCCCGCACACCACCGACACATGTGCCCCCCGACCTCATGACATGCACACACGTGTGGGTACGCGTTGACCGCGTGCGGCACTCTCTGGAGTCCCCGTACCGCGGCCCCATGCGAGTCATCAGACGCAGCCCTAAAGTGTTCACGTTGGAGCTGCCGACTGGCGCCCACGACACTGTAAGCGTCGACAGACTCAAACCGGCACACATGCCGCCACCTGAGGACACGCTTGGTCCGAGCAGTACCGAGCCTACGGCTCCGGAGCAGCAGCTGTCACCGTCGACCTCGCTCGGGCCCCTCGCCACTGGGGCGCCCGACGAGCCGACACAGACGCCGACGACTACAAGACCGTCCGGCAAGAGGACTTCAAAACCTGGAGTGACGTCTTCCGCATCGCCGGCCAAGGACGACAAGCCGTCCGCGGCTGCGCCGGTGCACACCCGCAGCGGCCGCCGCGTGCAGTTCCGGCCGCAACCGGACTTCCGATACTTTTAAGTGCGCCCGCGTACGTGCGTTCGAGGACAATCCTGATCGCGTGGCGCCGACAGTGAAGTGATAACTGCGTCGCGCGGTGTAGTGATTCTTGCGTCGCGCAGGACCGTGCAGTGACAATTGCGTTGCGCCGTACCGTGTAGTGATTATTGCGTCGCGCAGTGAAGTGTCGATCGCGTCGCGCACCGAGTG